TAAACTGTATAACTTTCTAGGTGCGTTTGTGACTGTTTCAGCTGCAGATGTTCTACAGTACAGAATTCAGTGACATATAGCCAGCTCTGGGGCCTACACACCCAATCGGTGCACGGTCTTGTAGTTAAACACACCTCCGTCTACTGCAAAAGTTAAGAACGTGTTGAGTTATGCCTCCACTTCCCCTGTGTCTACATGGTGTGATGCTTAATTAAGCATACAGGACAATCGTACCTTCATGTTACCTTGTCGCCCATTAACTGAGCAGCAAAGAACTGGAATCTTATCTTGGAGGTACCTGGTTCGATTCTCAAGCACATACATGCTACTGTGACAAATGTTTTTCATGGTTTGTCTCAGTCTCTACAGGTAAATGACAGGACATTACTTAACCCTTTCAGACTGTTACTTACCTACCATTCCAAATCACCTTCATGTCTAATTGAGTTCTATACAATCTTTGTAGTACAACCAGAATTGTTAAATATGCTAACAGTCAATTATTTTAAAGAACACAATCTCAAAAAATTTGTTTTTATTTACACTGTAGCACTCATCATGATTAATTATCCTCACTATTCTCTGCAATCTCACACATTTAATATTACTCATCTCACCTGACATGACAACTCTGTGCCACTTGTTCCCACATGTGCTCTCCTTCAGTACAAGCTGTCCCATCCCGTCCCTCTCTAGAAGAATTGTGTCAGGCTCTAGCTGTGCTGACACAACACTCTGAAGTGAAAAAATCCAAGAATATCACTCAAAATGGGGCTTATCTGTTGGATGTATGATACACTGGCACTTTCTTTTAACAACATAGAAATTAAAATAAAGAATAATTAGTTAAAGATATTAAATATATAAAATCATGCATACAAACGAAACTGTTTACACTTTGAAAAGACACTTAGTGACAAAATATTACAAAATATCAGAGGTTAAAATAATGACTTCTTACCATATCCTAATGTTGTTTATTCTGCATGTTCATGTGTCAAAACATAAAAGTGCCTCATCACTATGATTTCATATTATGATGTAATCAGTGATTACAAAGCGGATTCTTAACACAACATGGATTTATTTAACACTATGTAACAATTGATTATTTCAGGATTTGTATGTATGCTTCAGAAATCACAGCCCTGATGATGTGCATAAAAATGTTTTCATCTGTACATCATAATAATCACTGTGCTGGGCTTAACTGGACACACTACTCACTTGCTGTCCTGCCTGTAATTCACTTGGTGCTGTCAAAAACTGACTCCATGGAGAAGAGCCCTTTCTGATAAGCTAACAGTACCTGAGCTTGTAAAGAAATACCGTAAATTTTTAGCTGAGCCACTGATACCTGAGCTCAGTTCTTTTGAGGTTGAGATTGCTCATTGAAAAGTTGGAAAGGTTTAAATCACATTTTGAGATTCATAAACTTACTGATTCCATTTGAAATAAGGAAGAATTGGCAGAGCAATGGAAGGAATATATTACTGTATCAATTTATAAGAAAGGCATTAGAACTGGCTGTAGCACTTATTGAGGTATGTAAAAAATAGCGACTAAAAATAAAGTTTTATCCAGCTTCTGCGTTAAGGACTCTGCTGTGTGATGTTAAATAAAAAAAATTACTGTCTAGCAGGATGTATTTTCTGTGTTAATTCTACTTCAATTTTCATTATGAATTCATTCTCTTTTGTTACTGCATTCCAATGTTCATGTTAGTATATTCACTTCCAGATCAATGTTCTCACTCGTCTTATCAGAACTGTTATTATATTTGTGTTCTAAAGACGTGTACATCATCAGCACACAAAAGACCATAATTTCTCCCACTCAATTCCAATCAGTCCTGAGCGAGGTGATGTCAGAATTAAATCAAAAATGTTTTACTTCATTGTCACCAAATATTGTGGGAACAATTCAGAGGCAATTAGCCTATTAATTTTTATCAAGGTGTTTGCACATACCTCACCCAGCCCAAAATTAGCTGTGATAAGCATCTGGCGTGGGTCTCCAGTCAAAGGATGCCAAGTGAAGAGCACGCCTGCACTGTCTGCTGGTACCATCAGCTGTACCACAACACCCATGCCAACTTGCACCGGTTGACCAAACTGCCTACAACAGAACACAACCCCAGAATGCTAAATTCCCACCTATTTATCACTGTTAGAACTTTGCAAAGACTGCTTCTTGAGGAGCTGAGAATTGACCCACTGACTGTTCACACAACATTGTGACACTGGACTCTATGTCGAACCAGATTCATCTAGTCCACACCATATAAGATACAATTTAATAAGAGCTGATCACAAATGGTATAAATGAATAACTATGCTATTGTCAGTCAAGTCAGGAACAAATTTATAATATAGACACCAAACTGTTTCAAGGTGATGCAATGAAATTACAATATACTGAAAAATAAATACAGAAAATAAACACTTATTTGTTGTAGACAAAGATTATAAACTACTTAAATTTCCTTAAGAAATAACATTAACCCACTGTGTCTTTTAAAACACAGCAGTGATATCCATAGTTGGCCCATCATAGACTTCATGACATGGTGTGATTTGCATCATGTAATATGGTTTTGTGAACTTTATATCAGGTTCTAATCCATGAAAACAATGTCAGTACACTCTAGAAGGATTTCCATATAAGTCAGAATTACCTCCTTATTTTAGGCTGTACTCTCTGACTTTCAAATAAACATTACATAAAAAGGTATAAATCATTTCAGTAACCTGATATTAAAGGGTATAATTAAATTATTAATCCACACTGATAAATGGTACAGAAACATCTTGATATAAGTCCTTATTTAACTGTAGGTTGATTATAATATTATTTTTTCAGTGTAGTTCCAAAGAAAAACACACATTTATATACAGCAATTAGTCATGCCTTGCAATAAAATAATTTTTGTTAGTAATTTTCTTTTACAATTTTTGGATTCCCTGAAACAACAAATTCCAGAACAGTTCACATCATTTACTTTAACACAAATACGTGCCTGCTCTGATTAGTGGTTTATATCACCACACCTTTATCATTTGTGATCTAAAAAAGTGGTCTTCTATGTTCACCTTCTGTATTGTACTGACTGCAACGTGTACAGAGATGCCCAGCAGATTTGAATGGCTTCCAGAATGTCTGCAAGTTCCCCACGAACCCCAAGCAGTGTTTTATTCTGTCCAGCTGACGACAAATCCTCAGAGTCTTCACCCACAGCTGAAGATCGTACTGCAAATAGTTGTGGCTTGGAGACACAGTCTAAGAGATGTTGGAGATGGTTAGAGACTTCAGATCTCACAGCCTCACAGACAGCAGTAGATTCAAACAAAGTTACGGTTCTGGCAAGAAAGAAGAATACATTTGCTGACAGTACACAGCTGGCACGGAGTGTGTTAGGTCACGTGACTCATCTGCAGGGTCTATATAGCAAATAATAGGAATGCCAATCAAAACTAAACTATTCATAAGAATTGCAGAATCTTTTCTGCATATAACAAAATAAGCCACTCTTCACCCCTACAACATTTTGACACTTCATTCAGAAAAAAAGGGAGAGCGATGGAAAATTGGAATGTATGCGCCTCTTAAATTATGGTCAGCCTCATCTCCAATGCATGGACCCATTTTCACAAATGAGATTCTGTGAATGAAGCAATAACAGCATAACTTTTGTAAGATTTTATGCATTTCAAGTATGAAGCATGGGAGAACTACACCTGCTACTCGAATTTTTATGACATCTGCAGATTCACACTAAGAGGTGTTCAAGCAAATTTAATTTTTATTTGTAACAGTCAAACACAACCCTTACTTTACGAAGAACACAAATGAAACTTTCCAAATTTTTTCATGACATAACAATATGAACACACAAAAAATATAGATCAAATTATTATGTCTGTAAATGTGGGACATAAAAATGGTAGTGATAATCAATGTAAAGTCTGGACATCCATCTGCAAAGTTGTGATTTGTAAACTGACAGAGCAGTAATCAAGGATATAATTAATTATAACAGTGTGTGTAATAAATTCATGTATCAACTGAAAGAATCCACAGAAGTGTAAATCAGTGATAATTTGCTGCAATATTTATAGCTTTTACCCGAAACATATTTTTGATATGGAAAACATTTAACAAAGTACAGAGAGAAATAATTTATAACTTTATGCATATTAACACTTTTGCAAAAATACTAGCCACTGCTGAATATGAACTGATTTCATCACAAATCTAATTTATAGCCTCCACAGTTATTGTACTTATAAGAGACTTGTGTCAGCAATAAATGGACTTCAATGCATTTAAAAAACATAAACCGTTCAGGGGGCTGGCACTGACAGTGAGTGGTGCGGACACGTCATCAGTAAGACTGCAGAAATGAGCGCAACAAATAATACAACTGTTACTCACTTATTGCATTGCTCCTGAATGACATCAAGCTCTGTACTCGTGGAGCTCACATGCTGCAATGCGGTCAAAGCATCTTGCAGCTGACTAATCTCCTGCATCTGAATTTCCAGGGCTACCACTGTGACACAGAATCCAGGTGGAATCACGGCTGACAACTGTAATAATGACGACAAGCACTGTACCGAGCAACTACGAATGCTCACACACAGCAAAAGAAACACTGCACCATTAAAGATATTTATTAAGTCAACTGGCTTGAGCAGTAACATTTCTGACTTTATTTGTGAGGTGCTTGGTTCAAATCTCAGAAGGGATGCTGACAGGTTTTCGTGATTTCTTCAGTCAGTCCAAGTAAATGTTTGGAACATGCCAGACCATAACTAATTTCTTCCCAATAATTTCAAATTCACAAAACTCAAAAGCCACATATAATTTGTTGCTAAATAACCACCAGCATCGTTTAAAATTTTTTATATAAAAATTGTGTGCTCTGCAACACTGCAAATTATTTACTGTACTAGTATGAGAATAGTACAGAAAAATTCCAAGAATAAGCATAATTTTAATGTGTATTTATTTAATCTGCTGATTAAATAAATGCAGGAAGGACAGCTCCAACCATCACAAAGGAGTCAGGCCTCTAAGAACTTTCCGCAGATTTTGATAAAAGCCTGTTTGTGCCATGCTATACGTAAACAAATTATAAATGTACTTTCATAGATCAAGACATTAAATTTTGGTTGGGCCTAGCTCTTTACGACACGCTGCCCATGATTAAACACAAACTAAATGAGATTTATTCATATTACTAGTAGCTGAGACTGGGCTTCTATTATTAAAACAAATGAGGAACTCTATGCGCAGCACACTAATTCAGCTGCATATGCTTTATCACTAACTCTTGATTTTAATTTGTGAATGCTCTTTTGTATGTAGCATAAGTAGATGGGGGAGGCTGTTTGTTTTGTCAAAAACATAACCTTTAACTTTTTTGAATGACATCAGTAACATCAAAGTTGTCTGCGACTAATGGACTTTGTGTGGGCACGATGTCAGGTAACCATCTAACCAAGGATTAGTGATGTGATTTCAAGCTCACTTCCACAGATTTTTAATCAAAACTGCAATTCGTCAATAAATTTTAGCAAAATTACCTAATATCAAATTTCATAAAAATCTGTTAAGCAAACAGACACACAGACAGAATGGCATGGTGAAGCTAATGGCACACTTCAACTATTTTGCAAACCTGTTTACAAATAAATAAAATGGGATCAATTAAAAATTATAACATTTTTCAAGAACTGTAAGTTGACAATAAGTATGCGTGGAAATGATGTTACAGTGGTAGAGACTTGTGCTACATGCGAAGGGCAACAGAATTTTGTTAATAGCATAAAATATGAACATGTCCAGACAAAGGACTGCATGAAGAAACCAAGCAAGGAAACATTTATGATGCACAAAATGGACAGACGCAAGGAGTGCTAGGCAGGACTGAGAACTAAGAAGGAGGCTTTGTTATAAGATGATCCATCCTGTTGGAAACAACAACATACAATGGTAATGATGACAAAAATTACAATTGTTAATGCTCACCCTGTTTTCTTCAAGGGAAGTCAGAAGTGCAAGGGCCGATCCCTTTCCTCCAACCAGAGTGCTAATGCCACACTCTCTGTCCTTAAAATCCACCACAAGTGGGAGTGGAGATTCAGGTCTGAGCTCTGGTTCTTTTAATATGGGTAACGAAACCAGAGGAGAAGCTGGGCATGATCCAGAGTACCTGTCAGAATAACACAGTCACACTTAACTTCGGTTTAAATATGGCCATGAAACTGTACACAGAATGAATAGAAAATATTTTAGATCATGGCCTTCTGGGTCAATGTTCTAAACAGTCTTCTGGGTGTGTACCAACATTCTGGACGAAAATGGTGCCTTCATCTTCAGGTTTCTTCAAGATTTATGGAGCTCAGAAATTTTAAGAAACAACAAAATTTATAAAACATGCTAAAAATTTAATGTTGGAAAATTTTAACTTGCGAATGACTGATTGGTTAGGTTTATACAATTTTAAAATGTAATTGGCTGAGTTTCAATCCAGGTCAATACTAAAGCAAAACTGTATTAAATTGCCTACACATGGTCCAAGCAGGCCCAATAGGTGTTTTGTGAGATTGTAAGAGACAGGCTGCAGGGGGACTCCTTCCTTTTATATTTTTTAAAGTTGGTAAAGTCTGGGTGGCCTTGAAACATGTGGCAACACTTGCCAGCCGACATTTTCAGAAAGTGGGGACTTTTTGATTAGAAGTGCCATTCTCAACTCCATGTACTGTGCAGGGTCCCTGGCCAATTTCCTGCATGCAGTATTTTCCAGAAATTCAATAATTATCTGTGTATTGTCAGTGATGTTGAGGATTACTCTGGCTGAACTGTACGTTGGCTGTATTGTAAGCTATAGACAGAGTTCATATAAAAATAATGTATAACAAAATAATTAACAGATAATAGAATCTTAAATGCAGTATAAAACATTCTTTATCCCTTTGCTGACTAACCTGTACCAAAAGACAGCTGTTCCAGCTCCCAGCCTGGCATTGAGGATACACCGAAATACACGCAAGTGGGCCTCATAGTTCCATGGACATCCACCATAGAGAGTAGCAGCACTGTTGGGTAGTGTATGAATGCTTGTCGTGTAGTTCTTTCCTCCAGCTAGATAAAAGAGAAGGTACTTAGCAACCTGGTAAACCGAAAGCACAGTTGCAAAAATAAGTCAGATATTACATGCTGTAAGCACCTCCATTCAGCGGAATCCTTTCTGAGAAGCTGATAGTCTTTTAGATGAGCAACAAATTTCTTGCCTTCAATAAAAGTATAAGGTGCATTGCCATGTTCATAAGAACCCACAAATGGATACCATTTTAATGTTATCCTCTCATCTACACCTAAATCTCTTAAGTAATCTCTTCTCACCAGAGTTTATATGTCCCTCACACACATGCTACACGTCCTATCTCATCCTCTTTGATTTAATCATTGGAATAATATCTGACAAAGAATACGAATTACGAAGGCTGTTTATAATTTTAGTGATGCTGAAACGTTGGGTTTCATTAACAGAGTTTGTCATCAGTCAATTATTTATGTTAGCAAACAATTGGAAATGTAGTCAGCAATTTTGTCCTGCTCCACAAGAATTAAAACTGCTATATTTTAAAGTACCTGAAAATCTCAGTACAACATGTTGAGGCAAGGAGTCGGGGTGTTCACCGAGGCTTGGTAGAGAGAGGTCACATGAAGTTACTGAAGCTTGGCGTCCATTTGGTTGATAGACGTGCCCAAATATAGCACTGAAAAAATAAGCGTGCATCAATTTCACATCACAAATCATGAGATACTTTTTGCTAAGTAGTTGCAACCCAGTTGCTTACAATATATTTGAGCCACACTTTTAGTGAAATGGATATAGAAATAGAATGAAAACATTTCCATGTTCCTACTCACTGTGTAACACCTGGTTTCTGATTGCTTCTTGCCTCGATGCTGAACATGGATCCATCTGTAGTTACTCTTTTTTTTTAACCACCTCATCAGTCCCATAGCGCCTTTGTCTGATGCCTCTTAGGTACAATTCTTTCACATTATTGCTGTCACTACCAAGTGTCCATGTACCCTGGAGTGTGCCCCATTGGTCATAGCCTTCTCCTATTTGTTTCCTTTAAAAACACATGAAATCAATGCTATAACACACACTCAAGCATACCTCTCTGCTCCATTAAATTAAATATTGTACTACTTCGTGACTTTCAAAGGATCAGACATGTGGCACATGGAGCATACATAAAGGAAGTGATAAATTATACCACCTGTAGGACTTTGGAGTATGTGGAAGAATAATATTAAAATGTATCTTAAGAAATCGGATGCCAGGGTATAGAATGGATTCAGGATAGGGACATGCACAAAATGCCTGCTAACACAGCAATGCCACTTTGGGTTCCAGAAGGTTGGGGAATTTCTTGACCAGTTGAGTGACTATCAGCTTCTTAAAAATGACATTGGTCCATGGAGTTAAAAGTGATTACACATCACAAAACTTCTATAATTTCATTTTCAGCACACCACTACTGATCAGTAACAGTTGTGGAAGTTAGTGACTTTTATCAGGAACAGAACATAAATTACAGATATTTTAAAAACAAATTTCTTAGGAAAATCTTTGGATGTAAGAAGGGTGTCATAAACAGACAATTTATGATATTACAAAATGAGGAATTTTGTGGTTTTTGCATGTCACCTAGCATTGCTAAGGCAGCAAAATCTGGGATGTGCAAATGGGCTGGATATGTAGTATGGGGAAACAAGAAATGCATTCAAATGTTGGTGGAGAAAGCCACTGAAAAGTTGGGAATGAGGAGATAAAAAGATAACATTAAGATGGACCACGGGGAAACATGTGAGGATGGGAGGTATATATATAATCCTTTTTGGAAAAAAGTAGGTAGACATGAAAAACATTTAATCAACAATATAAAACATAAAATACATGATAATAAAGTGATCATAACAGAAGCGAATAAAGGCAACAGCCTAGTTATAATATAAGAAGAATAACATTTCCAAAAGATACCAGATTTCACCATAACAGCGATTTTGAACCATCCATGGATGATCTAACAGACATTCCAAAAACAAATCAGACAATGCATATGACAATCAGTTGGAATAAGGGCAATGACCCTTTTACTACAAATATAGCAATGCTAACCACTAGGCTACTGAAAATGAAAGAGAGGTTATAAACCAACTGCTGGAAAGATAAACAAAAAGCAATGTCACACATAAATAGTAAATGAAAAACAGGGAGGAGCGAGAGTATAATGCCTGCCATTCGGAAGATCACTAACCTCATTTTCATCCATTTCCCATTTCTCCAGGGTTCTCTGGCTAAAGCATTACACATCAGCTCAGTGCTCCAGTCTCTCTGAATGTCAATAACATCACTACAGGCTGTCCATCTGCAAGTCACATGAAAATACTAACTAACACATTAAAATTCCCAGTTCAGTTTGCATGAAGATTATGTGTGATTGTGATACAGTCTGTTTGTGCAAGTTGATTTTTAGGTTATGTGTTATCGAGATAAAGGTGGAAACTACAGTTAGGTTTTTTCAGAGCAGTTCATAAAACTGCTGGCATAGCTCCTGTGAAGGAAGCTTATGTGTTATGGGCTGACTTATTCCTGCATTGCAAACCCCATGTTGCACAACTTCAACTGCTGTACTTGACCTGAAGAGTGGTAATGTCCAATACATACGTAAAAAACAGTTCTATAAGAAAAATAAGGAGAATACCTGTTTATAAATCAAGTAAGGTTCATTACTGGACAAAAATCGAAAATCAAAATGCCACATGTTCACTGAAAATAAATCAGACAGTAAAAGTATTAGGCCTGAAAACTGTTCTCAGAAATCCCTCAGAAATCTTGCAGTGGAACAGGGGTTTCAAAATTGTCAGCAGAGTGCCACAACACTCCAGAAACTGAAACTGCTGAAGACAGCAGAGAATGTGTGAACTGGAACCATGTGACCCTCCTAGCAGAACGAATGTTTATAAGCAGATGCTTGTCTGGTAATAATGATTAAATAAACCTGCACATGCTGTAGTTGGGGTAAGTTTTATTTTTATTTTTGTTATGTAAAGGGTATTATTTGTCAATTCTGCTAGCAAATTGAATATCCGTGGCTGACATGATAGGATTATCCAGATCTTTAACCTCAGAGGTTCAGCCATTAGTTTAATGTTTGAAAATAATTTCACTAGAGAATGTTTTATTTTATCTTTAGTATGAGAAATTAAGTATTTACCATTCCATTGAAATTCAACATACCTTTGATCAATATTGATGGCTTCAGACCACTTCATTTAAATGTCCTTATGCATCACAATTCCAAATCATAAGAGCTGTAGGGTACATTAAATTTTACTCTATTCTTCTACTACAGAAAGCAAGGCAACACACTGTAATTTAATATGTTCCATTCACTCAGTTAATTTCTAACACCATAGAATACAATTCCCTACTTGAGAAGGAAACAGCAGAAATGTTTTCATTTTTCATTGAAAAATTCTCCCAACATAAATTCATTTTCAGGTTCAGAGATACATAAAACAAACACTCCATTTGTTACTCAAATTGGTACTAACATTCCGTTCTATATGTGAGTATATTTTACATATGCTAATATTGCCTTGTTCACAACCCCTTTTAACTACTGTACACATATCCTTAGTGACAAGCTGAAGTGATACAATGTGATCACTTTTTTATAATATCCAAGAAGAAAAGTATTATATTTCACCACAGATGTCAATTTTACCATATTCAGGCTTCTTTCTCAGAGTTTGGAAGAAAGTAGAGAATTTAATGGATAAACAGAGAGGTTTGAACCAATCCTGAGTTATACTCACATAAATCTAAACTGGACATGAACAATTACATCATTTTCTTTGTCCTGTATGTTCCCCTTATGTTTCACTCCATGCCTAAAACAGCAACAAAACGTTATCACAGTAACATCAGACAGTTCACAGTGACCGATATTTCAAAGGTTTTTGCTGCCTCCATCACTGACTGCCCTGATGATGGAGGCAATTACCAGACACTATGGCGCGACATTGAGAAGACGGCCATCTTCAGTCTTGTCACTGTTGGAACCTGAAATCTCACAAAAATGGTTAAACCTAACCTAACAATTTGAATGATAACAAAACCCAAACACTTTTACTTTAGTACAAAAAAGAAATGCAGGTGAAAGAAGACCATTCAAATGACGGCTGTGAAGGTGGAACAGGCTTGTGCCTGGAGGGGAAATATATCTTGGTGGTTTGGGGTTGAATGTTAGTAAAGTCAAGAACAGTAGATTGGTTTGGTTGACCATTTTATACTACCGAGCAGTGACAGAATTATGAGTGGAGTGCAATGTATAGACTAGGTGAGTATTCAAAGGGTTCCATGTTTCACGCTGGTACAAGAATAAATTATCAGTGAAATGACAACAAGTCTCATGAAGACAGACCAGAAATTCTTCCTGGTGCTATGAAACGTCATGTAACACTGTCTCTTACAAAACATAGTTTTTCATTGCATTGATTTTTCCTGTTCACATCTCTAACAATATGTATATCAGTTTAGTTTTGTTCAGAAACTTAAATAAGTAGAAGTACCTCTCCTTCTAGCAAAACGCACTGCTTCAGACAGTATACAATGTATAACATACTAATGCCTTACTGAAGCAGCCACTCTCAGAAACGGTTAGAGTCAAAAATCAACACACCTAAGTAGTCCATTGAATGTGATCCTCCACCTACGCAATGGCTCGCATATGTGAAATTTGAGCCCCCCGCCACTCCAGGAACTTTTATTATTGCTCTGTATGGTAGTGTCTGGGTGCCCTGGAACACACCAAAGTAAAAACACAATAGACCTCATGAGAAGCATTTACAAGTGCAGAATTTTCATGCAAAATTTTAGGTATTATATACATGATGCAAAGCAAAGAAAGGTGACACATGACTGTATAGAAATCTTTACAAAATCAGGGTCAAAACAAAGCTTATATGATAATCGTGATAGTTTTACTTTCATCTTCCATTTCCAATATTATTTTCCTCACACATAATTTCTCTTACCTTCTCTTGCCTTCTTTCTCCTTCATCTTCCAGTTTTTTTATGTCTTTTCTTTGCATCTATTTCTCTGTTTTACTGTAGTCTAGTTTGCCTCTATTCTTCAATTTCTTCTTTTTATTCTTTCTAGTCATGTTAATATTTTAGTCTAGTCTAATCTAATCTACCTTTCCTCTTTAGTTTCTTCTCTCTCTTTACCAATATATATCTCTGCCCTTTTAAGAGATCTGAGATGTTAGCTCTCTGATATAAATATATATTATATATATATATATATATATATTCTCATTAATGAAGTTCAATGTAAACAAACAGAAACATTTTCAAACCAATTCTGCTGTACACAGTGTCAACACAAGGAACAAGACCAGTTTCCAGCCTCTCTTGTTTTCAGAAGAGTGCATATTATGTGGCATCAACATTTTCAACAGGTTACCTTCAAGTTTCACAGGTCTTACAAAGAAACTGCACAATTTAAAGTAACATTATAGACATACTTACCTGAACACTGCTTTTAATCTGCTAATAAATTTCTAATGTTTACAAGTAAGTCACAATGTTCACTAAGGTTTTCTCATCTTTATACAAGTGGGAATATAATTTACCTACTGTATGTAATAGGTAGATTTGAAGATGGTTGTGTTCTAGGCTGTAGTACTCATTGCCCTGATGATGGAGGCAGCAAGGACCTCTGAAACGCTTATATACTTCTACCAGACTACATGGCACTATAACCAGAAGACATCCATCTCTAGAACTCTAATTATTTTTGAGAAATCAAGCCCAGAATAACAATTTATATAGAAACATTTTTGAGCATTTAGGCCAGGAGAAAGTTGTACTTGTAAACTTATCTAAGAAATCAGATTTTGTTTCCCATTATTAATATTTGTGTGCGTTTAATGCCGGCTCAATAGCAGACGGAACAACATACCTGGCAGCTGGTACACAGACCCATCTTCCAGTTGGACATGCAGCCAGACTTCAGTAATATTGTGCTGCTTTCTGGTGATTTTCAGATGAATGGAATTGCCCTTGTGATCTGTTCCAGATATTGCCATGCTGTCCACCTGCAGACAGTGGTAAGATCCTACTTACAGTCTGTGCTGAGCACAGTACTAAGCAATAGGCTGTTCAACAGCCTGACTATAAAAAAACGTGTATTTAGTATTTCAGACAACCGCAGAGGAGTACTAATTAATTAACATATATGATGAGTCCAGTGGTGGGCTATTGTGAAAATGGTAAAAATTCTGGGCACATGTACTCCTGTACAGCTCTTAACATCTGATCTTTCTGAATGTCACTGAGAAGCAAGATTCTTAAAATAAAGATCCAGGGCACCCTTTCTACATTAAAGTCCTATCCCGGCCCTTTCATTGCATATCATTTTCTTACTGTTCTTGCAAAAGACTAGAGACAATCAAGTTTGATACTTCACCTCCTTCTCTTTTGCAAGCGTCCGAAGCTTCTCTCTGTCTTCATCAGCCTGGGTTGCCATGAGCTCTACAACAGGCCCTACTGTCGTGGGTCGGTGGCATAACTGCGGTTGCCTCAGTTTCCAGCGCACCCACCATTTCTTCAGGAAGAAATTCCAGTCTGCAATGTTGACAGACATATCCAAATACTATTAAGCACTCGTTCACTCACAGTAAGAGCTATCTACCTATAACTTCATTCCATTTGATTTATCAGCCATGTTAACACTTCCAAAACAGACATAAAATTTGTGAAACTATCAATCAGAAATAGAGGATACTTAACTACTCACACAGAAACTATGTGTGTATCATGCATGATACTGGCAGTAAATACACATAGTAATTAAAAAATCGTGCAAACCATTCCTAACACATGCATTTTCACTGTTTGAAAACAACTTCTGGGCTGGCATGAGGCAGATTACAACACGATGTGACCTGTGTCAGCCCCTCGCAGGTCACAGTGACACTGTGCGTTTATTAATACAATCAAAATGTATTAAATATTTTAATATGGCTTGCAAGACTTTCTGATCATTCCATGCTACAAAAACATGCCCATGCACATATACACACAAAAACACATACAAACAAAATAATAAACTTATAATATTATTTAGATGCAGGTTATACCATTGTGTAACTATATTTGTTAGATAGGCTTACGTGGCCTTTAGTTGCAATAAATTTCTTACCTAGCTTTGGTAGGTGGTCAATTGGAACTGAAAGGTTAATGTCAACCCTGCTTTCAGTTTGCATCATCTCATTAATAATGATTACATCTAACATAATATTACTAGTTTCATGTATTGAAGACCTTAATAAAATAACAGTTTGAACACGAAGTGCCACTGGTTCAAGTACTGGCCACTTTTCATAAAATTGACTTCATTTTTTGGACATTAGACATATTCCCTCTTCCTCTTCATTATATTCAGTATTTTGGTCTTTGCACGACTTAATAAGGATTCTTCTCACACCTAAGTCATGCAGTTGTCTCACGTGGTGGTATTTAGTTTTTGATTTTAACAAAGTGTGAGATGGGCAGAAAAAGTTTTATAGAAAAATTATTATGTGTGCAAGTGACGTGTGGGGTGACAGGATGATACAGAACATCAGACTGCGTACTACTGAGCCTGACAAAACAAAGAAACTATGCGATCACATCCATCAGAACCGAGTCAGAACGTGGCTAGTCTTTAACCTGAATGTTAATGTTAATAATGAAGGCAATGACAGTGAGGATCAAGTTAATTACCAGAAGCAAGCAATGCATATCCTACCTGCAACCACAACAGCTGTACCTTACTCTCTTGTTTTCACCACAACACTGCAAAGGAGCGTCATTATTTGTTCTTTGCATGCTATGCACAAAATAAATGCATGCAGGGCCGAGTATGTCTGCCCATCCATCTGTTTGTATGATTCAACTGGTGAACCACTGGACAGATTTGGAAGAAATTTTGTATATGCATTATGCCATTGGAGGCTAACCTAAACTCATACTTCTAATTTCCTGAAACTCATAATACTAACAGGGTAGATGCATTCAATAAAAAGAATCTTGACTCAACCAAGATTCAATCACATTACCAACCTGTGTCTGTGTCCAATATAATACGTCTAAGCTAAGTTGTATTCTGTTGCATTGTCATTGACCTATAGCATTTAAAGAAGACATTATGAGCACATGATTTGTACAAACAGAAACAAACGATGTCTGAATGAGGTAGCAGACATTAAATTTCATCAAAACTTTTCCTTTAAAAGAAAAGATTAACAGACATTTAAAATTGTAAGATTGTATGGGAAGTGAACTACATAGCCCACAAAGTCAAGAAAACAGAAACCAGACTTTACTTCAGTGTAGTTTCTATGCACTAACTTCCCACTTTTTGGACTCATAACCTCCAACATGTGTCAAAAACCCAAATATCCTGACACTGGTTTATAAATATACCTGCTATGCTGTATTGTCCTTGACAGCTTCTGAACTTCTGTCTGCTTTTAAACAGGAACACATACGCTATCAGTGGACAGGCAAACAGAGCCACATTCTGCAGAAAGTCTAGCAGCTGCTGTGATGAGTCTCCCATTTGTCCCTAGGCAAAGTCACTAATTAATTCAGTGTCACTCTTTAATCGCACGTCACAAGTATAGTTCCCACCCTCGCTCTGCTTGTACTGCTCATTATGTTCTCTGAGTGCCTTAATTCTGAGCCACCAAATAAGGTAAGAGCACCAGTGCCATTCACTGCAATATTCTGTCACAGCTGGCATGGAGATGATACTACCCTATAGCAAGACAATGCTCCCAACATTCTGCCCAGATTCGACTGCAAACCAAACGGATGGCCCATCCGCATCCAGATTCAACTTATGTGATCCCTTCTTTGTCAAAGTGAGCACAGAAATAACTGGAAATTGTTTTACAGTGAAGTGGAATTATAAATGAAGAAACAATGTAATGTGACACATTTGGCATTTTTAATATAAATGATAATTTTCTTGAAACACAACACATTTATTAACTTCTAAAAACCTCATCCAGAATGTGAATGTTTTATGATAAATATTTGAAAATTAATAAGGTTGTGTCTGGTAACATCTGAAAAGTGCTGCACTGCAAATTGGATTTTAGGTTCTCAGGGCACATATTTTCCAAATGCCCTGATGTTCATTTATAGCTAATAAAAAGTATAATATTTTACACACAACACGATACAGAAATTAATTCTCGTTGCACTTCATTAAATACTTATTGAATTTAAAAAGTTTAAAATAAAAGTTGCATATTATGACATCTAAAAATTCGGTTATATGCAAATTTTTTGCACAAACTCCTTCTGAATTGAAAACAAAAAATAAAATTTAAACCCACAATACAAAGTTGCATGGCATGACCGAGAAGGTCATGCCATGCATTCTGCACAAAGAACATAACCCATCTAGCAATGCAAAATGTTTCAGTTGGAGAAAATATACAACCTAGACACTTACTGTTTGTGCTTGACAACACTTGTGCCTATTAGAAAAATGCAGGCAGCAGAATGAATTAGATGAATGGATTTAACACATCCTTATCAACACAAGGAATGTCAACAAAATAAGTACTTTTATAATACGAATAAATGATACCAGAGATATGCTTACACATTATTCACAGATAACTGAGTGATCAGTAAAGTTCAAACTCCATCCTGATATATTTCATAATCTTAAGATAAGAATTTTCCAATTGTAGGTTCTGGTCTGCTTAAATTTATACTGAAACTTGACCATTCTTTAACAGATGGCTTTTAATGTTAACCCTAGGCCAAACCTAACACAATAAAACAGTAAAAGTATATGTTCTCACTCTCCTGCTCTTAAGATATTAGAAATAAATATAGAAGACTTCAGGATTTAATGTTCTCTGTTTCCAAGTATCAGTAACTAACATCTGTACACAGTACTAAAATCTGAGAGATATCATAGTGAACCACATCAAATTTTTTAAAATAAAATTTTTAGACAAGAACATATGAAATAATTTATCTCCCTTCAAAGTATTTTTGTTCATCACATGGTTCAGACTACTTAACACCATTGCTCCATATCATCTTCCTATTTGGTTGGTTACACCACATATATATAAAGTAATAGAGTGGTAATATTTAACACAGAGTATTTAGCCATTAACCTTTAAAGTACCAGGCATTTATATCCTATCCCCAGCTGGTCTAATTTCAATCCTGCAGTTACACTACACCATGCATGTATTTAGATAAAACAATGTATCCTCCTTAAAAACCTACACACAACAATTAAATAAGTACATACTGTTCAGAAAAGTTTAATTTACCATTTGGAACCATTTCTCAACCTGACGCTCTGCAAGATTATTTCTAATTGGAAGGAATGTTAACATATTTATACTTTCCGAGTTCATTAGATTTATATTTTGAAAATACTGCGATACTGTTATTGTGTTTACTAGGAAATGTGAATGCATCATGTAAGCTTCTCTTCTCCCTCTGACAAACAACTGTGGAATTCTTTGTTTCTGCTATATATGCATACAAACAAAAGTTCAACTAACTTTTTCCCCATGAAACAATCTGCCATTTCAGGGTCAATTTTGCTTGGTACAGTTTAGACATACAGAAATGTACAGACCACCATTATGGTCCCCACAACAGTATACACCCTTTGCTTATTGTTTCATGTGATTTATCTCCAGATGTGACAACTGGGATGATGTTGGGCTTGGTTGTCCTCATTGTGTCGCCTTTCCATTTACAGCCATGCACGAACAAGGTTACAAGCAAATTGTCCCCTTAATTGTAAGTAGGCCATTTTACTGTATAAACCTTCTGCATTACAAAACAATTTATGCCAAGAGGCGGTTTTTTTTTAAAAAAAAAGTTCTGCAACTTACATCAGAACGTGTATCCATCCTGTAACTTGTATTAGCATAGTTTGTTATATAACATAGTTTTACACTCAGAACATTATGAGATTCTTAAAAAAAACATTCCTAAGCTACAGAATGGTGTGCTGTACCTCTGTTTCATGTCTCTTGAGCACAATGCTGTGATGCTATTATGACCTCACAGTATCTTATTTGTAAACTAGTTGTAAACTGCCCTAATTATCTATCTACAGCTTGTAACAACATCCTCCACTCTTCTTCCAAGCTTCATAATGGTATCATATGAAGGTGTTAGATAAGGAATGGAATCATTATGCTGCTTTTGCTATGCAAGCCCTCATGTTATATGTGTACTTCAAAAAGTAGCAGAGATTAAAGATTGTTATGTTATATATATTGTGATTCTTCCATGTATCAAAAATATAGGCACAGGCACTTCCCACCTTCCACAGATGATCGTAATTCTGCTTTTCTCGGGGGGGGGGGGGGGGGGGGAGGGGCAGTTGAGTTATCAGCATAATGCTAAAGAAAGAAAGGTGGGTTTCTAATAATTAATTTAAAGAAGAAAGATATCTAGTACTGTCCATCATGCACCACTAGCTCCTCAATTAAATCCTCCTTTTGTGCCTCAAACCAGCACTTTGGTAAATTCCATCTCTTCACCTGTGATACTCTGCCACCTGCTTTAATTAATTCACTTGAAATTTGATCAATACCTGGAGGTTTATAACTTTTCATCTTTCCAACTTCATCTAAACTAGGTTCTGGCACTAACAGTTCAACTGTATATATTTTAATGTCTAACATTATCAGTCCCATGAACATCTAAGAGCTGGTTAAAGACATTTTTCCACCTAATCAAAATTTTGATTGGATCTGCAAGTGAATTGCCACTATCATCCTTTATTTCTTAAGTATGAGAAATATTAAAAGTAGTTCATAATTAATTTCACCAAAGGTTTTTTCTGGCGGGGAGAGAAATTAAGTTATTAAGCTTTCAAGTTGTACCTGAAATAGATTTAATACTATCAAAATCTTACAGTAAAGGAATTTGCTGGAGGATATATACTGCTAGCTAATTTTTATTCATTCTCAATAGTCATCTCTCGTTTCTCAATATTAATTAACTTATATGTGTATATATAATAAACGAAGGCACATCAGCGAATATAACGATTAAGAACAACTAAAGTGAATGTGATGCTAATTTATAAAATAAATTGAATATTTTATACTTAGGTATGAAGTAGTGAAGGAAATAAATTGTTGGGCAACTAGTTTCCCACCAAATACTTCAGTAAATTATTGTACAGCATGTAGCAGACTGCGAGCGATTCAATGTCGTTCTAGGCTATATTTAGAAATTATCTATGCTGGAGTCGTTACTTTCATTGGGAACTGTTGGCAGGGAGCGAGATGAATGGCGGAAACGTGCGATAGTTTAGTTCATAAGGCAACGATTCAGTCTTCAGAGCCAGTTATAGCTCATATAGGGCAAGTTGACAGCATACGTGGAGACATCTTGGCACGATTCACAAGAACTACTTTATTATTCCCAAGAAATGTCGACAGTGGTGACAAGCCAATTGATCTTCTGAACCCATCACAAAACAGCTGGAGCATTTGATTGTATGTTTATTTTTATTTTGTTCCAAGGTGGCGTGATAATATCGAAGCGGACCCAAACTTAACTTTTCTTCCATTTTGTCTGTGGGACGATAAGAGCGCTTATCCTACGTGTTATTTTTTAGACATCCATATTGTATCGGGCTATTGGATTTTTCTGGCCCAGGACAAGGGTCGGTGGAGAGCTTTGGTTAATTCGATGATGAACTTTCGGGTTCCCTAAGTCGTCTAGTTAGTTATCCCATATTGTATCGTATTGTGTTTCTTGCAGTGTAATGCCGTATTGCTCTAAAGGGGGGTTCACACGGGAGTCGTGGACCAGGCGAGAACACTACTCTATTTGAGTGGTCACACGACCTGCTTAATAACGCCCGTCTCCAGTTCCCACTTGACTTCGCAAATGCTTCTCGCCTTCAGAGTCACTGTGTTCGAAAATGGCACATGATTGACTTGGTCGTGATCACTCCAACATGCCGGAGTGGTTACGACCGCTGTCTTCAAGGTCGTATACTACCAACTGTGCAACGACCACTAGTTCCCACTCGGTAGTGAGCACGACCTCCGGTCGTTTTGGTCGTGTTCTCGCCCGGTCCACGACTCCGTGTGAACCCCCCTTAAGTGTTGCGCACGTGGATGTACATCTTAAAAGGCGCAAGACTTAAAAAATTCTTCGATTTCCCCAAAATCCGATACTGTGTCACATGCAATATCGTAACATGAGCAGATCTGATTAAATGTAATACATGTGTGTGGGTAATAAAGCAGATTTGAGTGTCCAAAAATGTGGACTGTATTTTTGGTATTGTGAACCACCTACAGGATCATTGTTCAGATGACCAGCACATATTAAGTTTGTTTAGCCACATGACAGACCATGCCATCTGACACAGCTTACACATAGGATGCTGTGACTTCTACACCTGCATCCTGTACATTCCCACATTTTGTGCTATCCAGACTGAGTCCTTGAATATGATGAGCATCAGTTCTTTCATGCATACATATAAGAAAACAGGTATTCAAAGTATTTGGATAAACAACGTAGTTGGGTCAGACTACAAAGCAAGGAGAGGGTCCACAGAGGAACAAACAGAAACTGTGACATCTCAGAAACTGAAAATGTATAAAAAAGTTGTACAAAATATGATTTATTGGTTATTTCAATAAACTAACTATAGAATGAAACACAACAGCAAATTTCTGAATTCAGAAAATAAACGTTTTCTTTATGAATATTTTTCCATTTTCTTAATGACAGCAGTCAGTCCTGGATCTATCAGTGAAAGTATTTCATGTGTATAGGGTTACAAACCTATGGCAAATCTAAAGGTCAGGGATTATGGCAATGGATTGGATGATCACCTGTGGAGATATAAATAAACTATGTCTTAGGTAACTGACAGCCAGGCCTGCAAGTATCCAAGCCAATGACAGCTGGGTGAAAAGAGTGATTACTGTTAATAGTTTATCTGTGTTTACTAACCCCCTTCATTCACGAAAGTTTCTTGCCGTCTGTCAGACCCTAGGGAGTCGGCTTTATTCAAACACACATAATATAATCTGGTCCATAACTCATCTAATTCATCGATGGAATACAAATTTGTAATAATTTTATAACACTTGTTTTTCTAGTAATAACATTCCTACATTTCTGCTGTTGTACCACAGTGGCTGCAGCAAATTCTGAAAGCCGACTTCCCTTTATTTCGTTTTATCAAATTAGTAGCATGTGATCAAGGTGATAGGACGAATGTGCATGCATACTCAGCAAAGTGATTACCCTCTATTCATAATTCTTCACATGTTGAAGAGGAGAGAAGAAATGCTTCCATAACAAACTCAACATTTATTATAATATTATATGCACTTACAAGTTTACTATATTTTAATTTCTATTATAGAATAACTCTGGCATTCAGCCAACATATTGCACCAATATTCACAACTTTATGAAACATTTAATATGGAATGCATGTAGCATAATAATTTAAACAATTAATTTTGCTGTTAACTAGTGATGGCTCATGCCTTATTTTCCTGGTCAGACACCTCTACAACTAAAGGCAAAATAAGTCTGTCAAATTGTGGTAGATTTCAGCATTGTTAAATGTAAAACTAAGAGGTAAAATAAAAGTACAGCTCTCTATTCAGTGGTATCTGTCCCACAATATGCCATGTAGGCGCTTGGGGGGAGAGAAGGTATAGCTCCTACTCATTCCTAACCTCAGCACTAAATAGGGTAGTGGTTAGTGTCACGTTCCAGCCGAGCTTTACCCCCGGGAAAGGACTCTGGTACCCATTTGATAGGAGGCTGGGTGGGCCCCTGAGCCAGTCTGGACACGAAGACTAGAAGAGAAATACTCTGCCCCTGTTGGGGATTGAACCCTGGTCGTCCAGTCTGTAGCCAGTCATTATATTGACTGACCTAACCCAAAGAGGTTCTAGAATGAATTAAACCAATTACCAGTAATACTAAGAGCTTTGTGATATCAACAATACATCAATGCTGATTCACAGTTTTCATGAAATTTTTATCACAACTTATGAAATTTAATTTGAATCTTAATGGAAGAGAAGCAAAACACTTGCTGTAGTCAAATGTTTATTTACCTGACTGGCTGAATGTTATTTTCTTCTGGTAGTTTAGACACCTTCCTCTTTAAAACAGGTACAATTCTAGGAAAACATGCCCTGCCTCGTAAGCTCTCTCCAGAGCCCTCTTCATGCCTCACCACTCCCTGCACCTATAAAATACCTCCTCAACTAGGGCACTTTTTCATTGACAGGACAACATAATAACAAGGCTGCTACTGAAAACACCCTTTTCACATTCTGGAAACCGGAAACAAACTGGAAACATGTTTTTGTGAATTACTCATCACACATCATCTGTAGGCCTATATCATATTCATGCATATATATATGTCAATTTATATGCATGAATTCAGTTAATACGTCAGTTGTAAAACTGCTCCAACTGGCCTAATTGGTGAGCGGTCACCGCTGTTGGCATTACAGACATTCACCCGTCAGTCATTCTTCTTATCCTGTCCTGGCTGGTCCATGGCATCTGTCCGTGACCTATCCACAGGATACAGCCTGCAAGCAAAAACATAAATAGAAAAGAACTGCATAATATTAAAAAATGACTGGAGCGAGTTAGCTCTCTGACTTGTAACTTAAACATTCACAGTGTCAATCTCAGAAAATCCTTCACCCAGCCAGGAAATTATCAGGATTGGACTACAACATATATGAAGACCACTTACTATACCCCCCCCCCCCCCCAACTCCAAACAAAATTTTAATATATTTTCATACAATATAATTTCTACACTTGACAAAAAAATCTACGAGTAAATTAATATAAAAAAAATAAAAAAAGAGAGAGAGAGCAACAAAACAAACAGCTGGAATACTGAAATAACCTTTGTAAAACTTTAGTGGTGTATTCTGCCACAAAAATCAAGTGATTAATATTTTTGAAGTCCAAAACCAGAAGTGATGTAAGTGAACTACTAGTATAATTCCTTGTATTTGTATATACACGTATGTAGATTTTCTCTGCCTTCCATCAATTTCAGTTATTTGTGCCAGATGTCTATTAACCTTTATGGGCTAAAACAGATGTATCTGCCCTGTGGTATGCATTTCTTAGTGGCAAAATTTGACACTATTGTCCTGTTATGTCATGGCATTAGAAAGCTTCATACACTTAGAAGATCAAATACTTTTGTGTTTGAAACGAAACCTATTCTGTCGAAGGAAATGAATTATTAAGCTCTCCAATACAATAATTATTGCATGGAGACATGCATTAGTCTGTAAATGCATCACTTCCACAAATTAACACAATAAATATGTTAGTGATGCTAGCAAATAGAAACTTGCTTTCATGATTGATTGGTAATTCTTACACACATTTAAGGAGACCATATTAACCAGCTTGTGTCATAAGGAATGCCTTCAGAACTTTTGTGGACTCCAAACAGTACAGCAACTTCCCACACGTGTTAAACAGATGACAGGAAGACGAACGTCTCTGAACAGAATGCCAATTATTCCCCTAGTTTAAATTTTTTCATGAGTCTAATTTTGGTTTGTTATTGTCAATCCTACGTATTGAAACTTTGCCAGAATTTCAAAAGACTTATTAGTTTTCTATATATTATGACTTTCTTCTGTATTCTGATATGTAAAGAAGTGAACCTATCTTTACTTTTTCCCCAGAATTTGTTTCTTAAATCATCATAATAAAAAATGTACCAAGGACTTCCTACCTGCATTTGTCTTTCACTGTATCGTCAACAAGTAATGCAGTCGCTCATAAGAAATAAATGGCTAATAGCAACATGCTAATAATTACAGAATGCATGACGCAGTTCAGAAAAAGTAGTAGTTCCTACTTACCACCTCTGGTATAAATTCTATCCCCCCCCCCCCCCAACTCCAAACAAAATTTTAATATATTTTCATACAATATAATTTCTACACTTGACAAAAAAATCTACGAGTAAATTAATATAAAAAAAATAAAAAAAGAGAGAGAGAGCAACAAAACAAACAGCTGGAATACTGAAATAACCTTTGTAAAACTTTAGTGGTGTATTCTGCCACAAAAATCAAGTGATTAATATTTTTGAAGTCCAAAACCAGAAGTGATGTAAGTGAACTACTAGTATAATTCCTTGTATTTGTATATACACGTATGTAGATTTTCTCTGCCTTCCATCAATTTCAGTTATTTGTGCCAGATGTCTATTAACCTTTATGGGCTAAAACAGATGTATCTGCCCTGTGGTATGCATTTCTTAGTGGCAAAATTTGACACTATTGTCCTGTTATGTCATGGCATTAGAAAGCTTCATACACTTAGAAGATCAAATACTTTTGTGTTTGAAACGAAACCTATTCTGTCGAAGGAAATGAATTATTAAGCTCTCCAATACAATAATTATTGCATGGAGACATGCATTAGTCTGTAAATGCATCACTTCCACAAATTAACACAATAAATATGTTAGTGATGCTAGCAAATAGAAACTTGCTTTCATGATTGATTGGTAATTCTTACACACATTTAAGGAGACCATATTAACCAGCTTGTGTCATAAGGAATGCCTTCAGAACTTTTGTGGACTCCAAACAGTACAGCAACTTCCCACACGTGTTAAACAGATGACAGGAAGACGAACGTCTCTGAACAGAATGCCAATTATTCCCCTAGTTTAAATTTTTTCATGAGTCTAATTTTGGTTTGTTATTGTCAATCCTACGTATTGAAACTTTGCCAGAATTTCAAAAGACTTATTAGTTTTCTATATATTATGACTTTCTTCTGTATTCTGATATGTAAAGAAGTGAACCTATCTTTACTTTTTCCCCAGAATTTGTTTCTTAAATCATCATAATAAAAAATGTACCAAGGACTTCCTACCTGCATTTGTCTTTCACTGTATCGTCAACAAGTAATGCAGTCGCTCATAAGAAATAAATGGCTAATAGCAACATGCTAATAATTACAGAATGCATGACGCAGTTCAGAAAAAGTAGTAGTTCCTACTTACCACCTCTGGTATAAATAGATGAGAAATACTATGTCATCACGGAAGCAGGCTACTCGGTGAGCAATAGGCATGGTGATGATAAATGCGAAGAGGTCATCAATAAATGTATTGCATGCCTGGAATTAAAGTTTATACTTAAATGAGCATCTCCAGTATTACCACTTAAAAATATAGAGACAAGAAAATCTTGCTGCAGACATTTCTATGATAATTCCTGCATCAATGAAACAAGAAGCATACATGCAGATCATATGCAGAAAATAAACAGTACTTACAAGTCACCAACCATGTTAATAAAAGTAGTGACAACTCACCCTCCTAAAACCCCAAGAAAGTGATGCAGTCATCACAGAACTTGTCACTGTTCATGGAATTTTGGCCCAGAGTGCACCGATAAGCAAACTCATTTAAGCCCCTTCACAGAGGAAGCTGCTAATGCATTCCATGTTTGAGGTGATATCTCATGGCGAGCTTCTGCTCTGAAGAGTTTTGTATTTGTTAGGGATTGTGTGAGAAGAAAAAACTGCAAAATGCAGGAGATATTTCATCATGACTGAAATAAGCCCATCACTTACACAGTAAAGAATTTCTTAACAACCCAGTAAAACTGGCTATGTTCTGTGCTTTATGAACACAATTCGTATGCACTGTCCAGGAAACACTACACAATGGTGCCTTTTTGCATTACCATGAGAATGTGAAGCTACTTTTGAAGGTAACACACGTGGCGATAAGGAAAACGCAACAGTTGCAGTAGCATAGACCAAGAGCATCCATGCTGTTATGCCTGCTGCTACATCTGTTACTGACTGTCAATATTACTTATTTTCAGTCAATGAATCTGTGCACATACTTCAAAAGAAAACTCATGTAAGTAGGAAGAGTTCACAGAAACACAAGAACCATACTGATTTACTTCAGACTGATTTTGCCCTGATGTCCTGTGATGGCAAAAGAAGTAATAGATTCTTTGTGGGCCATGTGACCGAAGTTGACGTAAAGCGTTATGAAATGACATTCCTGACAAAAAGTGACGATAATGACAAAATCTTTGCATTTTGCTCAAATTAAGTTACAACTTCTGTGACCCTATCATAAAGACAGAATGATTTTGTTGTGCACTGCAACAGTAGTGAAATCACACTGTCATGCCGTTACCACAAATACCATTCTGTTACTTTCACAAAACAGTGCTTCTCAACAGTCCATATTGGTTAAAATTAATTCTCATTTATCTCTGCACATAATATAATTTCTGTACTTGTTAGCTGTAAGAAGATACGCTGAATAATTCCTTCAGTGTGTATGAGGACAAACAGCTGGTCCAAATAAAGCAATTTTATCAGTTACTTTTTACATAAAACTATGGTAATACTGTTCAAAACAAAGTCTGAAAGTTGTCCAAATATAGTTAATTTGGTTTTGACAAAAGTGTAATAGAAGTTTTGTTCATGTTTTTATAACAATCTAAATCTTAATTTAAACTTAAAAAACCATCATTCTGTTATGGAACTCCCCTAAATATATATAATGTAAGAAATAAAGAACTTCAATAAAATCAATTCAAGAAACTCCCTGGTAAAGATGGGGTACTTTAGCTTGCATTAATACAAATATCTGTAGCCTCTTCTCAACAGCTGCAACTTGCCACAGTCAAAAGTATATTATATTAATACGTATGACAATTCAGGAGTTCACTTTATTCCCATCTTTAAGTACTGGGTTATCACTGCACTGATTTCATCTTCAGTATAAGTGATACAGTTTAGTGTTGAACCTGCAGTCTTTTCAGTTAGAAATCTGTATCATAACCACCAGACCATCACAGTATAAAAATGATATTTGTACTACACACTAAACTTAAAATTATTTGAAATTCTCTCATCTCATCGACACCCACCACAGTCTGGACAAAATACTATCACCAGTGCATCCAGAACAGATCTGAATTTGGTGGCAACGGTATCTCTGCGTAACTTTGGCTTTCAGAGTTGAGCCAAGTCAGATGTTGAAAATTTCAGAATGTTTCAGCAAACAATGCACTTGAAATCTTCAGGATGAATGGCAACTGCAATGTTTGCCAAGATGTCGGATATTTCTCGCCACTTGAAATGGCTCAACCCTGAAAGCTGATGTTACAAGCTGAATTACTCCTGCTGTCCAATCCATCCTCACCGAACTGTCCTGTCCACAGTAAGAACATGAAGTTATGCTGCATATAACATGGTCCTTAGCCACTGGGATAACCTTCTTACATTTTATATTCACCACTAACCTCAATCTGCAAAGTGTGAACCTTTTAAATCACAGACTAGTCACAATTTCTCCTGCCTGCATTACATACAGTTTACACAGTTGTGAAGTTTATACTGAAGTATCCTGTTCAAACCAGATTACCTTATACATGAAGGCCTTCCAGGGCAAATGAGCCACTGATTTTAGTTTGTAGTTGACAAACAACTGAGGCAACATGAAGAGGAATCCGAAGGCGTACACACCATTCACCAAACTGTGAATACTCCATGAGAGCCAACTGTGAGAAGAAACATTACATTGTTTACCTGTTAGATCTGGTTGTTTGGTTAAGTTAGGTCTGTTGGGTTAGGTTTATTCAGTTTCAGGTAAGGAAATGTAGGTTAGGACAGATGTTTAAATATGAACTGTAAATACTGGAATACTGAATGAGGAAATTATGAAACGTTTAATTCTTAATTTTAAAATTTAAAAGAAATTGATAATTTTAAAACTGTGATTATTTAAAAAATTTGAAAATTCATAAGATTTGTCAATTTTTAAATTTTCAAAATTCAGAAATTTATTTTGTGGGACAAGGCAGATGTTATGTTATGTTCTAAATGCATGCTGCAAAAAATTCATGAGAATATTATATATATTCTGCAGTGGCATGCATTTTCTGAGCTTCTTATTCATAGCACACACATATTTGGACAAAATGTAAAGAAGCATGTGCATAAACAATTATTACAACAGATAAAGTTCATTTCAGTTTAGAAGCCACTTACGAATAGAAGTGTAAATAGCCTAGATAAAGGTATAATAAATCAATTTGACATATTATGTCAAACATCTACTGCTGAGTATATTCTGCCATTTCAAACAAAATTTCGCAAGATGAATACTTTCAAGGCCTGCAGCTTAGTATATATCTTAAGTTAAAGTCACTCTACATACCTCTTATGTGGTTCATAAAGGAGAGAGTATATGGCTCCACCAAAGCAGAGAGGGTAGAGTAGGTAAGAAAGGTACTTCATGCATTCTGCGTCAAACTGTTGTGTCTGCTGCTCTGCTACAGTGGACCCCTTCGACACAAACCTTAGCTTCGGGTAGTAACACAGTTGACTTGGCATCAGTATCTTTATTTGCACAACCTTCTGCATCTTCCAGAACTGAAAGTTGCATGTTATATTACTTTCCTGCGCATTACATCACTGCATCAGTGAGAAGAACAAGAAAAAAAAAGAGTAAAGGATTGGTGTTAACCGGTACTCAGTCAATTGCAAAAGTTGGTCTCCCAGCAGATGAAACATCGAACTGAATCTCACATTGTAATGGCACACAAATAATTAGTTTACCCCAACAGGACCTCTATCCAGGCCACATAAAAATGGCTTCTTTCCCTGCCAAGCAGTTCTGACGTGCGTGTTATATGAACAGCTTGAAATAAGGCTCTCAGCACCAAAGTGGCACAAATGCACATGCAAGTTTTTGTGGGTTATGCCATTTCCCCCTTCCCACTTCTGCTCCATGAAAAAGATATAACATCATTCATGCCTATTACAAGCTTAATTTTAATAAGATGCTTCCATTTTCACAACCACCGGCCAAATATGCTTACCTCTATCACAGTGCCAATGCCTGCAGGCACAAGAACTAAGAGCGACGTACCCTCATCTATCAGGTACAGGAAAACAACTGCCTGGCTAAAAGCTCGCCATGCCACTGTCCGGGTGGACAGACCCGCGAAGCTCTGCTTATGACGCCAAAAGCTCACGTCATTCTTGAATGCCAGGAAATCGAATAAGAGCTGTAAATGAGGTATTCACCAGAATTAATAAACTGACACTGAAAAACAGAGAAAAATTATCTTTTGTTTTACCTCTGATAATGTATAAAATAAAAACAATTCAAGATCACATATACTAAAATTGCGATCACACAAATTACAATAAACGAAGACCAGCAAAATAACAACTAAAATTATTTACCTGAAGCTGTCTAAACAGGGCTGGTAAAAATGCTACAAGTCAGTAAAACAAACAATGACAATGCAGCACAAATTAGGTGTTGTTAGTCTGTAACAAAAACTGACTGAGACGAAGTAGGATTTGATTTTCTCGTTGCAGCGAGTATGGAGATTGCTGCCTTCTATGTTGTAATGCTGTGTAGTCTGGTAGAAGTTTACCAGTGTTTAAGACATCAGACTACATGGCTGTTAACACATAAAAGCATAATGAATTCTTGTCAGGCTACCAGCAGTACCCTGAGGATGAGGATGAAGATGGTTTCGTGAAACATTGGTATTTTCTCCATCAACCACCTTACATGGCTGGTAGCCCAAGAAGAATTCATTATATATAGTCGCCGTGATACAAAATTACTTCTCTGCATACACAACTTTCTTAAATTTCTTGAATTAATGCCAGCAATGGACATTTCACTGTGTTACTGACTAATCTAATGTGTTATTAAAGTAAAGCTGTCCCACTATATGCAATGTAGGCGCTTGAGGGGAGAGAAGGTATAGCTCCTTCTCATTCTTGACCTCAGCACTGGATGGGGGTGATTGGTGAGCATCGTGCTATTAGTAGTTATAATATTTCCCATCCAGATAACATGTAAGAGCAGAAATACTGAAATTAAAATTTAGTTAGGTACTTCAAGTTGGAGATCCAAGAAAGATTTTGTGTTACAACAATTACCTGGTAACAGTATGTCAACATTTGTAGGTTAGAAGATGTAACAGTTAAACAAATATACACAACAACAATTTCAAATGTGAAGAAAAAATCTATCACCCTGAAAATGGAACACTGGTAATCCGCTACAAGATCATTCCAAACCAGAAAATTACAGTTCGCAATCTATCACTCGTCACTGATTGACCCAACACAGGACTTATGCAGTTTTGGGGGAAAAGAGTATCACTTTCATAAGGAAGTTACATAAATAGTGGTATCAAAAATTGTTTTTGGGGGAAAATGTGGCTGAATGAATAGCTCATCAAAATGAGGCTTTCAGCTCCACTCTTTTGCCACAGTTCATCATGCAACTGAGAAAAGTGATTAACATTACTTCAGATTTTACTTCAAATTATGCAGATGTATTGGTAGCTTTGCTTAACAGACATGTGGAGTAAATAATTGTAGTTTATGGTGGGTGGAAAAGAGTCGCATATGGACAAATACAAGGAGATTACAAATGACTGAAATTATGACACCAACTATAAACTTACATCACTTCTGGTTTGGTACTTGAGCCTTAAGTGTAGAAAACGATGTTATATATGACATAGCTCAGCACCTAATATGATAATTTATCATTTATCAGGTTACAGTATAAATAAACATTAAATTCAAGCAGAAGAGAGTGGAAGTTTTAAATACTACAGGTTCAAACAACACACATATCCTGCCCGTTGTTATCCACTACTCACATGGAGAGCTGCAACACAGATTGTGATGCATAACAGATACAGACTGGCATCTGCAAAGATGCTCTTCATCTCATCCACATCTCTCTCGCTGAACCCGAAGGAGAGGAATGATCGTAATGCAGTTCCAACATGAAGATATAATCTGTGAGATAATTATTTCAATGGGATTACTACATATTCTGTTATCCCTCCATAAGACCTCTCACTCACACTCTCTGTGGCGCAGGAAATTCTTTGAAAAGTCGAATGTATACTCGGCTTCTCAAAGAATAGCCCACTTTCTTTATAAAACACAAAAGTTCATCACTGTGTTCCCAAAAGCCTGCCACCAGACTCTATCCCGTGCTAGCTGCATCCAGTTCGCTCCATCGATTCATATCTCCATAAAGCAGTCTTAACGTTATCCTCTCATCTATGCCTAGGTCTTCCCAGTGGTCTCCCTTCAGGCATCCCAACCAATACTCTGTAAACACCCTCCCCTCTCCCATGTACGATGCATGTCCTGCACCCTCAATCTATGTTCCTCCCTCAAAGTGAGAGACCAAGTTTCACACCCATACAGCACAACTGGCAAAATTACACTTTTGTATATATTTATCTTTAGTATTTTTTAATATGTGATGGGAGGACAAAAAGATTTTGGACTGTGTTCCTTTGCATGATTTTTTCTGTGACCAAATATATCAAAGAGTTTTTCTCTTACACCAGTGATCCCCAACGCTGTGCCCGCGGGTGCCATGGCACCCGCCAAGGCTTTTTTCGGTGCCCGCGTCGATACGGAAAGAGGTTATACTGAATAATGAAGGCTGTTCAACCATGAACATTAAAAAATCAAAGCACAGCCCATCTTGACGATTGTTTACGAGCAGCAATATGATCCTACACTCCCAAATTTGAAAAACTGGCCGATGAAATGCAGTGCCAAACATCACACTAACTTCCCACTTGAGTAATAATAATTGTACTTATAAAATACGTATTTTTGATTGCGTGGTTTCTTGTATCGTTAAACGTCATGTTGTTTTGTGTATTATTTGGTGCCCATATCTTATTTGTCCAGAGAAAAGAAAATTTGGCTTTGTTAATTGGTTGGTGCCCGCCATGATCTCATAAACTCTCAAATGTGCCCATAGGCAAAAAAAGGTTGGGGACCACTGTCTTACACTATTGTTAAGATGATTCGTGGCTAATGATTTTAAGCATAATGCATATGACAAAGTCCTTGTTATTTACAGCACAGTTTCATTTCTCTCTTCACCTATGTTTCTTGTGAGGATCCATTTGATGTACCCTGTAGCAACTATTACATAATGTGTGATCCAAGTACATTACTATAAAAAGATAGTACATATAAATCTTGCCAACATATAGCACCATAGCATGGTATACTGTCCTGCCATCTGTTGAATAAACCATCATTTGCATAACCTCGGTTGCATTAGTTGCAATGTCACGTGACATCAAACCAACCTACCTGAGCTGCCCAAAGCTGATGGGAGAATATAAAAGCTTTACGTCTGCAACAGAATGATTGCTTGTAATGTGGATCAGGTCTCGGAGACGACTGTTGAGAATATCGTAATGTACCAGAGGTAGATACTCCATTTCAGATATCACACTGCAACAGAAACCTAGGTTTCAATTGTCTTAGGGGAATCATATATATCACATTCTTATAGCCAACATATTCATCTGACTCACCCAGGATATTATTGACTTTTAGAGGAAGTATTCAAGAACACTATCCAATAACCCTATAAAGAGTACAAAACAATCTCCAACATTTGATATGTAAACAGAACCACTCCACAAATCCTATGAAATGTAACATAAGAGGAATGCGACTCAGGAGGAAATAGGCATAAAATTTTTAAACATCCACTCCTTATATAAAATCATGCATACAAACAAAACTGTTTACACATTAAATAACGCTTTGTGCCAAATGCGTTTTGACCTCAAGAGGTCATCAACAGTGGCAAAAACATGAATTCATTAGTCTGTCTATTAGAATCACACAATTCATGAAATGATGGTTTGTTATAAAGCACTGCAAAAGGTCGCACACACAACCATTACATGTCAGCAACATGTACACATCTTTTTGCAACAACCTGTATGTACAGTTACCACAATTATTCATACATTTAAATCTAGGTACAGGTTCCAACATCAATGTGTTTTGCTCAAGCTGTTCATTTCATGCAGCAGTAAATAAATGTTAAAAATTCCAAGTATTGTCAGAAAGTTAAAATGACTAAATTCATATCCACTTTATTACAATGGTTTACATTTACTTAATGTGTAAACAACTTTTAACATGCACCAAGTAATTTCCATATGTTGTGGAACTGGTTAATGAACTGTTATTAAGATTTTTACTGGAAGTATTGAGCTGTCTACAGATCACACCACAGCACTTTTTCTGAAGCAAACTCCTTTGTGTGAGTTTACCTTCATAGTAAACTGCAAATCCAATTTCTAGAGAAGCACAGTTGTATGTTATTAAACAATAAGTGCTTGGTAACCTGTCAAAATTGGTTCCTCACACTATGTGATCCATCTGTTCCTATATTCGATAGGTGTCGCAAATCTTGTTCAACAGAATTATTTCTGTCAGGAAAACTGCAGACCAAATATATGTGTCAAAACTGTGTTGCAACAAAATTTAATCTCATTGTTCTTGAGATTTAATATACAACCCACTTCTTGTATTTTCTAAGTCAAAAAGCATGCCAAATTAACCATAGAGGGAGCCAGAATTTTACAGCAACCTAAGGATTGGTAGGTGATACTGGAGCACTACACATTGCAATATGTTAGAAACTACAAGTCTCATATTAAGATGAGGGCAACATCAATTGTAGCCCCAAATTTGCTGAGTTTATTATTAGCACAGGATGAACTCCCGTGCTTCCAGATGTGACCAGAGAACTGATAGCACACTACGAGAACTTGGGATGAATACCTTGCGGGGCGATTCAACAGGCCCAGTGACAATGCAATGCCTAACCCAGAGCGTTAAAAACATCAAGAAATGCCAGCTTTAATTAAATGGGTCATACCATGAATTATATGTTTAATAATCACCATTATGTTAGTTGTTTCTAGTAATATGGTGGACGAAGTGGCCATATTTGACAAGAGACTCCACACCCAATCAATGAGAGCCAGTAAGGAGCACTGACTACACCTCGGACACAGACAATGGAACCATTCCAGTGGGAAAGTTACCTGGAGAGACAACATAACATGGTGGAGGACTCCAACCAGCAAGCAGGACTAAAGTGCCATGGATATTATCTCTACCTATCAGGGCAATACCCACATAAACATGATGTAGCAAGAGAACAGAGAGAGAGACATGTACTGTAAACTTTAATTAAGCAATGTAAACTTCATTTAACTAACTGACTAGATGGTTTATGGAACATGAAGGTTCATCACCAAATTAACCAAAGGCCTCCACCGATCCCTGTCCTGGGCCAAGTAAACTCCATTTAGGATATAATATAGTTATGAAAAGAATTGCCAATAAGAACAATTACAGCAACAAATTTATTTCTTTTTAGGGCCAAAGGTGTAATGTACCAGATCCCTGCAACAATTTAGGGAAATTCATAAATGTACAGAACCAGGAAGCAATCTGCTAAGTAGTAGCCAGTGAAGGAAGGAATTTGCTGCACATAGCTGGAGCCATGAATGAGGAATGCAGTACAGTAGGAGCACTGACAAAAACTGCAAATAAAGTACCAAGAAAGCAGAAGAAGAAAGGCACCAAGAACAAACCTGGAGAACAGGCCCTGATCTTGAGATTAGACCAGCTTTTGGCACCAGCAAAGGTAGACCATTTTCCAAAGCCAGCGGGAGAGAGTTGCCTGCCAAACCTTTGCAAACGAGCGCCTGCCTATGCGTGATCGGGACTGAAGAAGACCACCGCGGATATCCAAGCTTTCGTTCTTGCAGCAGCACTTGTCACACTTAGCAGTGAGCTGTGAGACTGCAAGGTTCAAGAAGTCCTTAGACAGCTAGAATAGTTGGGAGATAATATTAAAGTGGGGAAATTGCGTCAGGAATGAAAGAGACACGCTATAAAACTGTGAAGGAAGGAGTGGAGTGTGCCAGTATGTTATTCTTGATACTTTTTAATCAAAGAATCATGCAGATATATCATCTCATGGTGCACAAATATCCCGATTCTCTGTACATACTGCTTCGCTATCCCCACATGACTGGTCATTGTACAAGTGTGAAATAATTCAAATTCGCTTCCCTTCACACAATTCTACAACTGCATAAAATGGTAGTCTGCAATGTTGAATAATTGGGCACTTGAATTCAAGAGTGGTGACCAGCAACAGTAATATGCTGCCAGTGGGATGTGTGTGGCTCAGAATAGCAGTAGCGACTAAGCCTCGTTGCTATATGTAATGTTACAAGATTATAGAAAATGATCAGTCAGACTCATTTTGCAAAAAAAAAGTAATAATGACACCACAATTGCAGGTGTATATTTACATGACTGGAGAAGGTAATTAAAAGCACTCAATATATCAAATGTAATGAAACAGCAGTCTCATTATAAAACAAACTCTTATGTGACATTACTACACTGATGATGCTTAAAAAACTCTTGTAAAAACAGACTTGCTCTTACAGACTGCATTCATTACATTACACTTTCACTGTGCTTATATGTGACTGTAAATATATAAAAAAAAATTTCAAGAAGTTTATAATATGGGATCGTAATTGTTAACCAACACTTAAAAAAAACATTTTAAACTTAGACAGTGAACTCATTGTTCATCCAAATTGAAGTCTTTGTTTTTCAACATGCATCATACTCATCAGATTGCCTCCATATAATTTTCTCTATTCTCACAGCCCAGACAAGCAGTAAAAAAGCCACTGTTACACTAACAATGAAGCTATTAAAACAAGTATAAGAGCACAACAGCGCAATATTCCAGGAAATGCCTGAGAGAGCCGCTTCAGTGACTTTCAAAATGAATGGCAACAATGTTATCTGTGTAGAAAAAGATCTTTCAAACACCATGGACAAGGTGCATAAGCATATTACATTAATTGGTAAACAACCCATCCTTGGAGATTATGGACAAGTACTGCAATACATACATCAGCAAGGGTGCAATTTCAGGAGGCACGTCTCTTCTTGGTATACTGATATCATCAGTAAGGATATTGAATGTAACACGGGACTTGAGGTGAGTCACTCGCTGCGACCGTACATCTAGAGCTGGCCTGCCTTGTGCTCGTTTCTCATCCTGTTGCACAAAGAATAATGCTTGAACTCTACGGCCTTCTATATTCATTCAACGACCGCTTATGGAAGTATGTTACTGATATAATGATGTAAGGCAGAAAAGATTAGTTGGTTCCCACAAACCTTACCCTAACAAACATAAAATTAAAATAAAGTCAGTTGGGTGTACAAAAACAAAATCAGGTCACCTTTATGAGCATTTGCTATCGTATCAAGATTAGCTTCACAGATTAGAATCCTGTAATGTCATATACCTCAAAATGTACTAATAGTGACAATAACTGATATATATGAATTAAGTTCAATGTGCACCTGTTGTTAGTGACATTAGAAACAAAACTGGTAATTTACATGGGTTCAGAGAGGGCTCACAGCCTGTTTTGATTCAAGGCAACAAGAGGGGATAACTTAAAAAATAAGTCATATTACAGCAAGATGGTATGCCACCCCATTTCCATGGACATGTTTAAGATATTTTAGATGTGGTTGGTAGGTTGGACAAACTGCTCCAATTCCTTGGCCTCATTCTTCTCTGGAACTCACCTGCTCAATAAAATTGACAACCTGAGACACAATCTTCAGCTAAATGGTTACTCACCATGGCTCATTAACATGGTTCTGAATTCTAGGGGAAGTAGTTGTCCTGAAGAGGAGAAAAAACCTCTTGCTTTAGTGTTTCTGAAAAGTTCAAATGTATAGGAAACCACTACAACATTTGGACAATATTCAAAACAACACGCTCTTCGGAGTTTACGTACGACAACCAGAAAAGAAAGAAGTAGAGGGCCCATTGTGTCTACAGCATTCCCTGTGAATGCAGGAGAAGCTACATTGGTGAAACAGACAGAGAGCTAACCAAGCGGCTCCATGAGAGGTTCTTGTAGAAAAATCAAAACTTGCCCAGCATTCCTATGACCACAGTGATAGGGCAAGTTAGAATGAAGCTAATATTTTGGAAGTTGAGAATAAACCAGATACAGGAAATGCAAGGCAGTGGCTCATGTGGCATGTCTCACAGATCCAATCAGCCGACCTAGTTTGGAAATTTCTCCAATCTGGAGTCAGTCAGGAGATAATCAACTCTTGAGGAAAGTCAGTTTTTACTTGATAGACTCTTCTGGGTACTCCCATGGCTCTGCTTTAGCACAACACAACAAAGAGGAATATGAACACACACTCATGCCTTTTAAACTGACAGTACCAGTGTTCAAGCACTGCACGCCTGTCACGTAAAAATGAGGCTCTGGTAGCATCCACTGTCAAATCCGCATCAAGAATATGTCATTCTTCCTAACTTACAACATGTTTTCAAAATTACTGATAATCCTTACTTTTGTGAATATGTATTAATGTAGTGCATTCAGTGAACTAATATTCTCCAAATGAACCAGACACCATAACCCACAAATACCAATTATCTGTAATTAAATAATAAAATTATTACTGCATTGAAACTCTCCACTGCCCACACACACTTTCCTTACTTTACTGCTGCCATCACCCCCTAGAAGTCTGAATGTAGTTGCATCAGGAACATGATAATGCGTCAGTACTATCCTTTTATACACTGACAATCGGTCCTGTGCCAGCTTCCAGAAGTCCCACACTTGAGAACCTGGTTGATATTTTGGACGAGGAAATGTGAACAAGTGTAGATACAGACTACCATTTTGTCTTGTGGAGCGGGGGATTCCAATAGTCAGTGTCCTGCAACATTGAAGGGTTTTTGATCAATACTGAGTTGATAATTCAGCAACATTGTTTGGTTTAGGGTAAACAGCAGCAGACATTTAAGCTGAATAGTGCAGTGAGCCAGCATTAACTGTGTGCACGGATGTTGTGAAAATCTGAACACTCGTGTCAATGTGGCACTGGATTTACCAGAACTTTCAGTCTGATGTGGTGCATCATCTAGAGGTGTCATGGGGCTGTTATTCTTTAAAGGGTCATTGACTGGTGCCATGTACCTCAACATGCTTACTCGTTCCTGCCGTTCATTAGCTGTATGGAGATGAGGACATGTGGTATCATCAAACTAGGGCACACCCATATCACCATCATAATGTCAGTATACTGACAACTACACTTTTTTCACCCAATGGATAGGATACAGAGAATCAGCTGAGTAACACCACCTGACTTTTTTCTTGCAGGGTTACTTGCAGGATGTGCAGTACAGCACAAAGCCAGCAAAACTTCAAGGGCTCCAGCAAGAAATTCAACAGTCTTGCGCAGCCACCCTACACAACTTTAGAGGCTGCTTGTCAGTCAGTTGCTCACCATTGTCAACTGTGCCACAAAAGGTAACAGAGGCCATTTTGAATACCTACATCAGATTCAATAATTCACCAAGTTCTGGCACATGTAATGGTTGTCTTTATTTCATCCACTGAATGTGTGTATACATCCTTTTGGGGCAACCTGTCTGTGTGCACGCACGCACACATACATGTATAACATTTGACAGTGAACACATTTAGCTACAACGTTTCTGATGCATAAGAAAATGGACATGATAATCACAAATCCAAAATGTACTACACATAAAAATGAGCACATTCTTTTCGTAGCAGGTGTCGTCAGAGTCGAAGGATACCATGTCATTGATAAAATAAACTGTACTGGTATTGTGAATGTAGTGGACTGTATTCTGAAAAATTTACACACTGAATTCTACAGTGGAATATACTGAACTCTGGCATAACACATACAGGCATCAGTTGGTTCTGATCATCTGCTGTAACTGCAGGTTTGACCTTCCTGAATGCTGTCACAGACACACTCCTTGCCACAACAGCTGCAGAGCAAACTGATACATACACAGTGGGGTGTTAATTGCAAGAACTAAAAGAATACTTACAAGTTTATACTTGCAAATAAATGATTACAAGATATCCGTCTTCATACTCACCGCTGTGAGAACCTCAAGTCTTACAAATGATTACAAATTCAGACAAAAGGATACATCTGCTAGTCAAAACCGTAACTTAGTACTCATGAATTAACAAAGGTCTCATAATCATTGCTGTTCAATTCAGAAATGAAAACAGAGAGATTATGTTTTTGCACCCAGACTGGCAAAACTGTACTTTTGTATATTTTGATCTTTATTTTTTTATATGAGAACAGAGGTCAAAAGATTTTGGACAATGATAGCAAGCATTCCTTGAGTTTAATCTGCTCTTGATTTCATCATGAATGTTATTCTGACTTGAATTTTGTCACATTTTCAAATGATTCATTAGCTATCTTTATACTCTGGTTCTGTCCTGAATTCTGATGTGGAGACATGATCACATACGTTGCCTTTTCCACATTTATTTCTAGACCAACATCCCTACTAGACCTTAAGAATATTTTGTGTTCACTTTTATAGTATTTATATTATGCCTAACAGAGTAATGTCATCAGCGTAGACCAAAAGGTGCTGTGTCCCATTCAATTCCAAACTTCCCTCATTTTCTTGGACTTTCCTGATGCCATATTCTGAGGAAAAATTGAAAAGCAACAGCCAACAGCTACTTCGGTGAAAGCCTGGAAAGGAATGAATTAAGCACTCTCTATGTACAGCAAACACATAAAATTTTATAACAATTCATGCTTACTTTTCAGATGGAGAATTGTAATCAAAATCTGGTTGGACATCAACTAGCGTCACATCATTTTGTACTCTGGGAACTGGCTTCACTGAAGTAAATAACACCAACTGAAACATGTAAATATCAGTTCATCAAATAAGTATAAAGTAAAAATTAACTGTCTTCATGCATACAGGAAGCCAAGTCAGTGGACAGAACAGAGTCTGAGATGTGCATCTGGACCACTCCATGGAAATACCTCTTCCCCTGCCAACCCTTTCCTTCCTCACCCTCCTGCCCGCCAGGAAGTGGGCGGTGTAACAAGTAGCTCATTCTTGTCAGAGCTTAAACACTTGATAGGAACATCCCTTTGGTTAAATTCTATTTCATTCTAAATTCGCTTTTGGTTATCACTTAAGCAACCTATAGCTGATAACAATTTTATCTTGTTTTATTACCAGATAATAACATTTCATTAACTTGTAAAGGCAGTTGCACTTGTACTTGTGTTTCCATGAATATAATGGCATATGATCTTCTGTTCATACTGACATGCCACTCCCTCCAACTCTAATAATTATGTGGCAGGGAACTTGCTTGGATTCCACGTGCATTACACAGAAAACATTTAAACTTTTTGTTATGTGATGCCTCCTTTGTTATAATATTGCAAGATACATAAAACGACTCAAATAAATTGAAGGTGCTAAAAACAAACCTGGCCTACATTCATGCAAATTCCAATTTTCTGTTGCAGTCTATAACAAGGTTGAAAAATACCAAAAATTTGTTTTCAAAAACAATCACAGAAATCAAAGACATTCAAGAAAAACTGAAAGAAAACCAATGGCTTGAAATCAGATACAATATAAAAAAATCCACTCATGTTTCACAAAGAATGAATGCTTTAAAATCATGTGCAAAATTTCACGTGGATCAGAGGAGGAAAGACCCGATCAATTATGAAGACCTAAAAGACTTGAGAGCTAATCTCAATCACAGCTCCAGTGACTGAGTTTAGTTCATTCTGATGTACCCTATAGAACAGGAGCCCCATTAACTACACCTGAATACAAGGACAGATCCAGTCCTTGAAACACTGTGTACATTTAAACATCAGATGATAGACAAGTCCTAACACCCAACAATCCAGATCAGTGCTTCAATTTTTTTTTAAAATACTGAAGACTTCTGGTTAAATTTTTTTGCATGCACGGGCACTTCTCTCAAAATATTTTCAACTTCTTACAGCACAAGCTTCACTTAAGGCGATGTTTATGAGATCCAGGTCCCTCTGCCAGGCATTGTTATGGCTATTTCTTTAAAAGACTTTTGGGCCTTGATGGTAGACCGTTGAAAACTTTGATGCTGGCATAATATGTGCTATTCTTAAAACATGAGAAGTTGGCAATTGGCCTATGAAGCCGATTCCTATTCCTTGTATTGACACTGTGTATAGAAGTTTGTTAATGAGAATATGTATTCACATGGAAGAGCAAAGACCTCTGTCCCTTAAACAGACTTCTACATGAATTTCTGGGTTTGATACCAGCCATTAATCTAACAATTTTCTTTTGCATACTAAATATTTTTTTGCTGATAGATGAATTACCCCCCAAAATTACTCTATACTTCATTACTGAGTGAAATTTGGCAAACTGAACTGATCTGAGTGACAGTGTTGCAGACATGCAACACACATCTAACTGCATAACATCCCCACTTACCTCAAGAATCAGTTTATCAATACAATTTGTCCAATTTAGGCCCTTATCAGTTTGTAAACACAGGAATTTCATATTTCCTGACTCTTCTATTACTTTCCATTATAACCAGTGCTTAAAGCATATTGTGGTGAGTTATTTGTTATAAATTTCATTATATTTGTTTCATCTAGATTTAGGGCCATCTTGTTAGCATTCAACCATTTATTCATATGAGAGAAAACCATATTTGATGTTGCAGAGAAATTATCAAAAACATTCTTAGAAATTATGATACTTTTGCCATCAGCAAATATAATGAATTTTCTTAAGGTACTTATTATTGGAGGAAGGTCATTTGTGTATATTATGAAAAACAAGGGCCTTAGAATTGAACCCTGGGTAACTCCATGTTCTACTGTTCCCCAGTTTGAGATATCTCGTACAATGTAAAGATGCCTCTTCTTACGAGACTTATGAAGTAACAATGAAAGACAGTGGAAAATAAAATTGTTTTCCAAAGAGACAGTGAAGTGGTGACATCTAATATGTTGGCCAGAAAGCCAGAAGAGGAATTCACTGTCCTACTGCAAAACCAGAGCTGAACTTGAGGGCAACAACCAACTGGGTCCCCTTGTGAAAACGAGGAAATATAGACTTAAAACCTTACATACTGTGCAGTGTATTGATATATAAAATCATGCATACAAACAAAACTGTTTACACATTAAATAACACTTTGGCACAAAGTGTTATTTAATGTGTAAACAGTTTTATTTGTCTGCATGATTTTATATAGAGGAAATATAGAACCGAACTGAGGAAAGTAGACCGAGGGGTTTGGACATGCTACAAGAATGGATAAGCATAGAATACTAAGAAGGATATTAGCAATGAAGCTGAGTGGAACAATACCCAGGAGCAGACTACTCACACAATGGGTAGACCGAGTTATGAGAGAATATAAATAATTGAGGCATTCTATAAATTTCAAAAATATAACAATGCAAATTTCCCAAGCATGACAACTGAAATGTAAAATTAATGTTTTTGCAATGTGTAAGAACTGACTTCTGTGACAAACAGCAGTGGTAGTAAACTAAAGCATAAAATTCTTAAAAATACTAACAGCTCAAAATAATAATTGTGGCAAAATTATGAATAATCAACTAACCTGCAAATTGGGCTTTCTGTGCAAGAAGGATTTAAAACACACCTCTCCTATATTGCATTGTGGGGGTACAAATAACGCAGCTATTGCCCAAACTGAGTATCCAACATATGCAACAAATATCCCTGACAAGATAAAAGAAATCGATGGCCACTTCATTATGTGCTAAAATTAAGCCAATTTTTAGAAATTTGAACGCCGATACTTTTTACGATAGTAGTCCCCGCAAGCAAACCCAACCGAAAATAAATTCAGATGTTTAACACAAATGACACGTCATTAAACATAGTAAACGAAGAGCGCGTACATATTGATCTTGCTGCCGCTGCTGTTTTCAGAAACTGAAACAGAAATATGGCAAATTGCCAGCATACGTTGTGACATCTTGGAACCATTTTCTAAGAACTACTATTACACGAACTCATCATAGATGTCGCAAAAGGTCTGGCAGCGCCTGAATTAATTTCGGAGCAACATCATTGTTAATGTCTAGTATGTTGATCTGTTAAGTGGTCGCTGTGGACTAGTGTGAGGTTAAAAAACGAACAATATTCTAATTACTAATATTTATACAAAAGCTATATTCGCCTTTCCTGCGGTATAAATTGCAGTAAACATCATCGTGAGAACGGCCTCTTTGTTTCAATTCCACAAACTTCTCTTTCTTTAAATTGAAAGTAAATTGAGACGACGCACACAATCTCTCTTGATTTTGTGTGGGCCTATAAAAAGCATTTATTCGTTTTAGCACAAAAACATAACGCCCTGTTGCAGTAGTGTTGCTTGATGTATTTCAGGTTAATTCTACCAGTTTAGAAAATTCTTCAAAACCACACTTGAGGTCATTTTTGGACACAACCACAAGTAATTCATTTTTTCCACCCCCCGTTGGAGAATTCAGAACATAAATGGAGCACACTGAGTTAATTTTTCAAGCAAATATAATTAAAATATTATCCATACAAGTCTTTTGTTTAGTAATTTGTTTGGAAATTTTGCCTTATACTACAATGAAATCAATGAAGATTTTTTAGCAATTCTTGCCAGGAGCCAGGAAGTGAGAGTTGACTAAACACACTGCACATGTACATAGTAGCCATAGTTGAGTGGAATAGTCATTTGTGTTTATCATCTCCACAAAACAATATAAAACATTTGTGTATTACACAGAAAGACAATTCCTGCATGTATCCTTATCAACAGCACCTGCTCCATGGAATCACAATCAGCTGGAAAGCACCCGTGGATACCAAGTCATTGCTAGGCTCACTGTATGTGTTTTAAAATTGAGAATTTTTTTTCATACCATTGCACAGCGTATCAGCAACTGAAATTTTGTATACATTCATACAAAAAACATTTTGTAAATGGGCAAAATTTCTGCAGAGGTTTTGGCCTGATAAACCTTGAGGCAGTACCTCCCTTTGAAATGTCAGCAACACAGCCTACTTCACATGGTACCAAAACCAGGATCAACATTATGAAGGGTAGATTGTGTTTAAAGTTAAGTGTATTGACTATGTTTATTTAGATGTGGAATGTGTCAGAAAGTATTTCAGGGACCAGAACAGCCTTGAAACAAATGCACATTTAGTCAACAAGAAAATTCATTTTTCCAGGTATTGAAAATATTGTAGGAATCTGCAAGTATATTACCATTCTCACCTTTTAACATGTAAATGTTAGGCTTGTCAACCCTTTGTGAAGTTTACCCTAATATTTCTCTTCTGTTTGTTTCAGACACATTCATTTTGTCTTTGAGATATTTTCTGCTGCTTCCGCAGCCTTCAATTCCACGAAGTTTTACTAATGTGAAACTACTATTTAATTTCAAAGATGACAAGTCTTCTGGAATGTTGCATGTTCATGAACGCTTCAGTGGTGCTTGCTGCCTCAGAAAGAAAGTACTGTTTCATCACCACCTGCATTACCCTTTGGGGCATATCTTTCCATAGTGTAGTGCAATGTCAGCATTGTCTCCTGCAGTTTCTTCACAGATGTCTCTAGCTTCACCACGGACTTCATTAAAAACAATTTGATGTCTCCTTATGAATGTGTTTAACCATCCATTAGACACTTTAAATTCACTGTTTACAAATTCTTCCGCTACCTCTTTTGCATTTCCAGATATTAGCAAATTTATAGTCTTTGAACTTACAAACCACTCTCATACAAACTCACTGATGTCATTTCCAGTTTTCCTTAATTTATGTATCACTGAACCATTACTACAATCTATCCATTTTGTTTTTAGCTGTTTTCAATAACGTCCATGTTAATGTCTAGATACAACAATGCTGTTTTCTTTCACTCCACAGCTACAATTAAATGAAGAATACTGTACCCTCCAAGGATATCCCCAGTTGCTCGCTAATGGTCATTAACGAGTTGAGTGAATGTAAGTTCATAATGGAAAGGCACACTGCAAAAAGTAGTTACGTGCAAAGAAATATGCACATGTTACACAGGATAAGAAATGTGGGAAGAATGGTATGTACAGTTATTACACGTTCATGGCGAAAGGAAACATTATGTGAATTTTGCTTCTTATGCATAGGACAGCCTTCAGAGCTGTTACATATTTGTTTCATTTACAGACATTATTTTGCACTCTGCACACCTTCAACACACTACCTTTGACGAATCAGTTTTTATAAAATTAATTCAGTCCATTATTCTCAAAATTTCTTGACGAACGTTGTAGTGTCCCGTTTCTCAACTTGCCGCAGTTGTTTCTTCTTCATTCTCTTAATTTTTGAAGTGTTTGTTATCTAGACAAAAATTAACATAAATTATTACCTAAAATCTAAATACAAATAGTCTTCAGCAAATAAAACTGTCAGAGTAGGGTTTACAACGTTTATGCCAGAAACGCATGCTGCAATGCTTATGGAAACAATTATAATGGTGTTTTTTAAATTTTTTCCCCCCTGACAGAGTAGTGTGGATAAATAAGGAATAGACACAAGCCCTTATCCAACCCCAACTTCTTTTCCATTTGATACTGATAATATTCCTCACCACTACCACCACCATCTCAGGGAGCTCGGGAAATCTTTTACCATACTTCTCTCAGATGCTGATAATGCTGTTTTAGCTGATGAGAAGAAGGAGGAGGACTTCTGTCTGAAACCCACTGTATAAGCAGCCGCATGGAATGGCCAAGAATTTGAGAAAACTATATCAATGTGAATTCAGAAAAACAGCTGTGGAAGAGGATTTTGTGTAGCTCAAGGTGGCTGAAGGTGGTACCAATGGCAATGGACCATCTGAGAGCTCCCATATTAACTATGGCATCTTTTGTGGAGTAGAGTGGTGTGGCTTGGAAGACAGTGGGCGATTTGAAAGCAGCCTCTCTTTCTTAGATTTGATAAAAAAATTTATTCAGTGTGATTGTGAAGAGAGTGCAATAACAGAACTCTTATGGAGATGGCTGTCTTCTGGGTTATAACTCCATGAAGTCTGGTAGACGTTTACCAACAGTTCAGAGGTCCTTCATTGCATCATCAGGACTCATTGCCCTGATGATGGATGCAGCAAGGAACTCTAAAATGCTGGCAAGCTTCTACCTGACACATGGCAGTACAAACCAGAAGACAGCCATCTTCGGACTCACTGCTGCGTAAACTTCAAATTCTACTTATGCTCAGCATGTGATGGTCACTTACTGTTAAGGGATTTTGCACCTTATGTTCACTCATCCATGAACTACAATGTACATGTACATCTATATAACACAACACAGTTACTATAGTCTCAGTATAAGACCATATTTGAGATTAAACTACATTACATCATACTATATTATTTAATTAAGCAAAGGTAAGTGGCGATTTTAATTTTTTGTTACATAGTTTTAATTTTGTAAGTTGCTTTATGGAAATATTGCACTGGAACAAAATACTTCACTCATGCATGGCCTACATGCACCTCTATACTACACATCAAAAGAAATGTTTACACATTCCAGAAATATTCAGACTTATGCTCTGCCTATCAACCATCTAGATGAGAGCTTCAAGCAGAATTTTTTTAGGGGACTGGGTGCTAGTCATTCTGGGTGTGGTGGTCCCTACAGTAAGCTAAAATTAGCATAAAATGAAAGTTCACATACCACTTGAACAATTTCTGATTTTAGCCTATTTTCTTCCTGTCGCTTTAGATTTTCCTTCCTTCGAAACTGTTTCTCCTCCTTTTCCTTCTTTCTTTCTTCTATTAAAGCTCGTGAATGTTGCTTAACTTGTTTCAGCTCTAATCTTAGCAGGTCTTTCTTCTCCTTTGACCTCCTTATTCCTCGTGTTTTAATAATTGATGAAAATCTGTTTTAAAGAAAAATATTAGAATTCAAATATTATTTTGGAAAACAGCACATCTTTATCCACTTCAATATCCTGTAACTTTCCACAAATATGTCCTGGCAGTAAAGCACTTCTATAACACTGAACCCCCTTTAACCACCTTTCTTCAACTACTGCTTCCTCATCATGTCCATGATGTAGGGCACAATTCTTAGTATAAAGACAATTTTTAACTGAAGACAAATTATCTTTATTGAGAGCAACTGAAGTAAAGCTCAAAATATGGGAACTTGCTGGTGTGGCAAAAATTATGCCTACTTTAGATTATGTAATATTTGGTAAAGTTAGGGTGAATTAGTTAAAATAAATACACACACAAGCAAACCAGGCCCAACTGGTTCACAGTGAAACACTTTTAAAGTGAGTTCCTTTCAAAACCACATTAGTGGCTAACTTTGGCATCCAAGACAGATCCTTATGTCAACAAGGATCTCACTTGGATGCCAAAATTTGCATAGTACATTTCTGGGGTCATCTGCAAAAGTCCTGATTACATAATGCACTTCCCTCAGCATGAAGTTATCATTACCTCTGTCTTTACATGTGTCACATGTTATCTGGCTATTCATAACCTGGTATTCACCTAGAAGATTAAACATTGAACTTTTAATTCAGAATGTGAAACAAGTCTATTTAAAAAAAACTAATAATGTTAGAGACTATCACAGTTGAACTGGAGAGGACAACCAAGATGATAAAACTGTGGATAACAGTGTGCAGAGAGGGTTTCATCTAGTGTGTCCCTGCCACAACACCATAACCTCTATGCGGATATTTCAGAGGACCTCTGAAGCATTGGTAGACTTTTACCAACCTATATGGCACTACAACCCATAAGACAGCTATCTTCAAAAGTCAAACAACTGCAGAGTTCTTGGATGCCAAGTTTCTAAACAAAGCTTCTAACTAAATTATTTTCATACGCTTCACCTTACCGAAAGCATTCTACAAAGTGAAAAAACAGTGAACCAAATGTGTGAGAAGTGATGAACATGAAAAACCAAGTATTAATGTGATACACTTGAATTTTACACCAGACTACAGATTTGATTCCACCAAGTCTTACACACTCTACAGCCAACTTAATGTATGAGACCCATGAATACATGCTTGTAAAGTCCCATACTTTAATCTTACTCTGGTCCTGAGCTAAGAGTGACCTCTGAATTTTAGGTATCAGGATGAATAATACAGCTGAAGATTGGATGTAGTCCACTTCACTTTCAGTGACTGGTTACTGTCACATGACACAATGTATTTTGTTATATTCACGGTCGATACTTTATCAGAAATGGTTAAATATTCTAACTTAAGGTGTATATATAATCATAACTTAATTACATCTAGCTCTGCTCGCCGCCTGTCGAAGTTGGGTATAAACCGCAAAATAACAAGGTAATAGGTCGGGGAATAGTTATAAAGGCATCTAGAAGATTGACATTTATCAGTATAAAGATGCGCAGGTGAAACTGTACTGTCACATCACTGAAGACAAAGATTCACATACTTCGATTTTCGTTGTTTCCAGACTCTTCCCGATTTTGGTCGACCACGTGGAATGTGTGATTTTTGCTTGTTAATCGATTCTACCGAAGAATTGTCACTACTATTATCACTATCGTCTTCTTCTTTGCTTTCTTCCTCTATCCTTTCAATCCGAGACGCTGCGGCATGCGAAATAATGTCTTCAAATTTTATTACTTCCATTCTGTACTACGCTACACAACACACACGCACACTGTAATACAAATATCGGCTACGCAGTGCTACCAAACGGAATTTTGTAGTAGCCAACATCTAAAATGAAATACCACTAAGTAGGATTTGACGTTTTTCACGGCGGTGATTCCGAAAATGGCTACCATGTGGGTTGTTGCTCAGTGTACTAACAGTTTGGTAGAAGTTTGCCGACGGTTCAGAGGTTCTTGCTGTGATGACTCATCACCCTGATGATGGAGGCAGCAAAGATCTGTGAATCGTAGGTAAACTTCTACCAGACATGGCGCTACAACCCAGAAGAAAGCTATATTCGAAAACGTAAAGCAGTAACACTACACGCCGTTTAGGCTTCTACTCAATCGTAACTCCGGCCCTAGATAGGGTCATCCCCGGCCACGCTATACCCCTAGGAAAGGACCCCGATACCCATTGGACAGGAGGCTGGGTGAGCCCATCTGGACGCACAGGGTAGAGGAATAATTCTACACCCCTGTCGGATATCGAACCCTTAGTCACTGTATTAACTGAGCTACCCCTGCTAAAAGCTAACGGCAGAGTCCTGTGTAAAGCCCAAGCCAATTCTGCACAGGAACAAATTGCTGGAGATGGTGAACAATCTCTTGAGGTATAAAAGGGGATATCTCAGACCAATTTCATTACTAATAGCTTTATCTAAAATATGCATATTTAAACTCCGTGTATTCTAGTACAGATTATATTTTCCAAGCTTGTTTGTAAGATATGTAGCTCTGGTGAAGTCTACTCCACTGTACCTGCTCTTTTCAAATGCCTCTTTAAATGTCAGACTTCTGTGTTGAGACTATGTGTCACATAGTAGGTCTGACCAGGTTTATAAGGTTTGTAAAACTGCATTTTTTTATTGAAAGATTATGGTGTGACTGCATGAAGAGAGATCTGCACAGGCAGGTTTCCAGTATGTCCCAGAGCACAATCTGGCTTCTTTGTTACTATTATGTCCAGGAATTATAGCATGCCATTTTATTCCATTTCCAGAGTGAACTTGATACTCATATGCATGCTGTTAAGATGCTGCTGAAAGTCTTGCAGTGGCCATGTAACAAATACATCATCTGAAAACCTATACCAACAAGGCCTTTTGGGGGCTGGGTTCAGAGCTTTAATATATCAGTGAATTTTGGCCATTCCTCACACTAACCCTCAATGTAGAGAGACCTAGTCTCCAGAATGTTAATTTTTTACTCAATATTGACGCATCTAATTGCACAACAGGATTCTGAAACTCTGTTATCAAAGATTGATGGATTTGCTATCTAAAGCAAAAAGCATACCAACTTTGGTATCAAAGACTGGCGGGGATGCTACATAAAGGAGATAAGAAGGCGACACTTGATTCAGAGGTTGACACGATTGCATTACAAAGCAGAAAGGAGGGCAGCACAAACATTTAAAAAAACACTGACAGGGTTTCTATCCAAAGCAGATACCACAGCTAAAACATTGGTATTGCAAAAATGGTAGAGTTGCCATCCAAGGGAAGTAGCAGGGCAACATTTCTGTGATAGATATGCAGCATTGCTATCCAAAGCAGAAAAGAGGGCAGCATGGTTATTTAAAGATGGGCAGGTTTGCTATCTGAAGCATGGACCTGCTGTGTTACAGTACAGCAGACTTAACTGAGCCAAAGCAAGAAGTTACTGAAATGTCCTTTCTAAACGTGCAACATGAAATGATCAGATGCCATTTGCCACTGTTAGAAGAAGCTACATCATGAACAATCACTAACTCTGAAATAAAACCAGAAGACAATTCTTTTCCTTGAATACTATTTCAAAAAAGGGTATTGTCTTGTATTAAGACAACTGCTGTAGGGTGTAACCATGATAGAATATTTACATCATATTACAAGATAAGCACCTTTGTAATTTACACTCATTACTAATTATTACGAGGGTGATCAAATAGAAATGGATGAAACAGGCAATATCTGAACATAATATATACAGAAAAATCACATAAAATAAGTGTCTCTTCCACAACCTTTCTCATAAATGGTGATTCCTAACCAGTGTGGGTTTGAAGCTACTTATAGCTGGTGAGTCATTAAGTACCAGTAAAACACGTTGTTTGTCTCTCCCTATGCTACGAAAAGAAAGTCAGCATTTCAGAATTTAACTAAGCTACTTGTCAAATTTCAGGCAATGAAAATTCCAATAATGTGATGTCCTCTGCTGCAGTGCAGAAACCAAATGTCCGTACTTTCCCACCCAGCTACAATGATTAAAATAATTTACATCTTGTCAACTGCTCATACTGCTCTGTGACACAATGCTGTTACATAACAGGAGAAATATATATCTTTTCTGTTGGTATCTGTAAAAATTACAAATGTTACTGGGCACTGTCATGGAAGGAGGACAAATAATTCTTCTGATAGTGGTCTATGTCAGGCTGGTGGCTGAACCTAAAATGACTAATGTCACGATAATGCAGATCCTGTTGGTCCGTCTGCGGTAGCCAACTGATGTTCAACCCTGCAAAGGCATTTAGAGGCTAATTAAAAGTTTCAGAACTGTATGACACAATTTAATATCAAATATAATTTAAGTATTATTTACAACAGTGGCCAATCGGCAAAACAATATCACATATAATGTATATCAAAATTGTGGGACATCATACACTTAAGAAGGTCATACCAAAAGTCATGAACACATTTACTATACATTTAAACAAATGTACATGAAAGAAAATAGATAACTCTCAGTAATAATTTGACGTGTCCTACACGTGTAATCTGACTGTGCTCATGAATTCTGATATGGTCCTTGCATGTATGAATGGGTTTCTCATAGGACAATGTTTGGGTGTGTCAAATATATTTCAAAAGTGGAACATGATCACAGAGAGGATACTGACAGTTCCAGTAAGGCATCAACTTCTTTGGCCCACAAATTATTTTGTATTCTAATTCAGGTCTGTACATTTAAATAATTGGATAGCCACTGGATAAGGCATTACTGCATAGCCAGTTCATCAAGAAAGACCAGTAGTAACAAACGAAACCTATATCTTTCTGCGGTGAACTGGTTTTGCCCTTCGCTTACTAGGACTGTCACCTAGTTGATTTGGCGGACTCAAGCCTGTGATGGGTACGTTAGGCCTCTCTGCCGTCAAGATGCCTTTCCTTTTGCGGAGTGATTCTGTGGGTAGATGCTCAGTTGGACGCAGTAACTGTCTGAAGTTGTAGGGGCCATTGAGGTCAGTGTCTGCCTGATCATCTTCTCCACCATTTTTCGCAGGATGTTCCCGCGTGGGGGTCTCTGGAGAACGAGCAGTTGAACGAAGTAAGTGTCGGAGATCTGGGACCAAACAGAATGGACTGCCGTTATTGTTACTGCTGTTCATCTTGATTTGTGGCACACGGGTAGGCCCTGACAGACGGCTATTCTGCAGCCCACTGCTGTGGAGAAGAAGAACCAATTTATAACTTTGTAGGATCAAAAAAGTTTATAAATCAATCAGCATGCTCATCAAAACCTAGCCAATTGATTCCATAAAATCCTGAATCTGCAGAATCATTTTTTGCAATAGCTAATTACTTATAGTGTAAGTATGGTTGGAGTAATTCAACAGATGCTGTAACCATGCATGAATTATTAAATTAATAATTTTGGTAATTCTGCATCAACTACACAGTTTATTTTGCCTGTCCCAGTGTAAAGGGATATAAGTCCTTAAAGTTCTGAAAAATTTCTTCCATCTCTCGACACTTTAAGCCAGCAATCTGCTCCTTTCTGCAAACTGAATTCATAGATCATTATGACATAAAAGCAGACTTCATTCAAAATTTACATACCCGATTCAAAATGTTCATTCCGTGAAACATGAATGTTCATTACCATGTTCAAAATGTCCACCACTGAACACTGTTCTTACATTCACTCCCTATTTCTCTAGGACACACTTTTATATTATTTTCCGATTACACTTAGGTTTCACCTGTGTTCAATTCCTTTGAGATTTCCCGACCAAAGTTTTACATGTACAAATGTCATAACTCAAAAACTATTGCAGATATATGTATACACTTTACACAAATAGATTCCTTGAGACAAACTACTGCTGGCAACCAAATGTTTTTCTGACTTCTTAAATAATGAAGATATCCGAGTCTCTTTGGATCCTAAAACAATCAGACAAGCTAGAACTAAGGAACTTGATGATAATGCCTCATTATATATGTATGCTTAATTACTGTTTAATTCTGCTTGCCAGCCATCTTGCCATACCTTGCTAGTTGGATTATGTTATTGTTGTTGGTTTTATCCGAGTGTTGACTGTCTGACTGCAACGCAGCGTGGCGCCAAGCGTTCAGAAGGCGTCGTTCCCTAAGTGCATTATCATGGTCCTGCAAGGGTAGAAGTTCATGATGCTGGGCATTCATATCCAAAGTCTTCATTTGGTTTCTGCAAAACAATACTTGTCACACTTCACTAAAGAAACGGAAGAGAAATCTCATCCCACACCAAGCATTTAATTTAACTGGTTATAACCATTTCTTATGAGGAAGATCAGATGCCATCTGTGTATAACATTCTAAATAACTTTTGTTCTTAACAAAACCACAGTCGACAATGCATATTTAATTTTCATATTTAATAGTTACTTTGTTAGATTTAATTCTGATGACTGTTGTCTTCAAAACGGTTTCTTGAGACAAACGCTTACATATGACTCGTACAGAAATTACATTATTTCGAAATTCGTATTTCTTTTGGTATAACACTTTTCATCACATTTACAGATTATTTATGTTTTCAGCTCACTGGCAGCCTTTGAGGGCTGCGTAACATCACACACAGGTGACATTACCTATTTTGTTTGCTCTAAGTAGCAAATAACAAAGTCAAACGAATTTATTTGTTAGACAACAGATGTAGTATACATTCATACTAGTGTTTTGTAATATATTAAGGCATTTACTTCTAAAATCTAAATTTAATTTAATTTTAATTCTGGGTTTATAGCCTACATTATCCCCCAAACTACTGCACACTTTCAGCCTGATATTTTTAACCTCCAAGAGCTGAAAGAGATGTGTCCCGTGAAACGTTTCTGTCATTGGTGGAAAGGGAATGTCATAACATTATAACTTTTACACATTCAAAGAACAGCACCTTGGGTGTCAGAAATGTTCTTAAGGCTTAACAAAAAGTCAGGCATTCATTTGTAATTGAATCATCTACTTATGGGATGATTTTTTCATAGAAACACTCTCCTGAAATTTGTAAGACATTTAAAAGGATTTGGGTGGAAGTGGTCATGGTTTATTTTAAGGTTTTGCCCAGAGATTTATCTGGATTGACTGAGTGAAACAACAAAAATCTGCATTCAGGATAGTCTGTGCCATGGTTGAGAATCAGATCATGCACCTCCTGAATTTTATATACTTCCACACAAAATTGCAGGTTCTTACATATGTGACACTATGTTCACATCTCACTGGTGGTTTAAGGTTCACAGTGTCTGTCTACATACAACTAAACCCTATAAAATGATACATAATTCTACACACCTTCTAATTTCTTGCTGCAGGGACTCATAATATGATGCTGTTTGGTTAGAACTAGAGGCAGGCTGTTTTCCATCCCTGCCTATAAGACACGATACCAATTGAAAGCCTTGGGGTCTCACGAAGTCCCTTGGTGGAATTCCGATTTCTGAGTGACGAATACCTGGCTTGTTGTGGCGTAAGTACTTATGTGCCTCCTGATTTGACATGTGTACCTGTAACATCATTATATGAAATAAACTACTGTCAGCTTTGTTATGTAGCTTCTTGTATGGTGAACAAAAAACATAATGCAGGAAAATGACTTCATGAATAAAGCGCAAGTATCATGAAACTATTAAAATAGTTGGATTGAAAAAATATTCACTGCTGTCACATCTACTTACTTCTAATTCTGAATATTGATGACAAAACAAAATCCTCTGCCCGTTGGGGATTGAACCCTGGTTGCCAAGTTCATAGCCAGTATACAAGTAATTTTAATTATTTTAAAGACTGTGGCTGTCAAATTGCTGCAGCCATGCACATTTCCCAAACACTATCAACAGCACAACAAAATGTAACTCACATTATGAGAAAAGGATATAAGCTCTGCCTGTCTATTGGATTGTGGTTGGTGACTGGGAGCTGGTCTGCAATGCTGTTGCTGGGAAGACAGCTTCCCTCCACGACACCAATTCCTATAGTATCGTTGAATTACAAGCACAGCATCTTCCGGTGCAAGACCCTCGCTCTGGAAAAATAAATGCATCACTTTCATAATAAATGGTGCAACATACAGAGGCCAAAAACATCTGAAGACCTTTTTCTTTCTGTTTTAACTAAGTCATGTATTTATAAAATATATTTCCTTGACACCCAACTAAGGCACCTAACTATGAATAATTACAAACACAATAAACTGAGAATTTAAAACTTTGAAGGTGCATATGCGCTGAACTTCTCTCAGGCAATCGTTTGCATGAAAGCTAAGTTATTAACTATCATTTTAAAGACATGACATCTTCATCATCAGGGTTGATAATGTTTCCTAAGTATGATTATGATGGATGGCTGGGGAACAAATCAACTTAGACAGAAATTCTGTCCCTTTCAAACTGAACAAGACAGCTGAATTTTCCAGTGCAACTGAGTGTGTTATTCAAGTATACATTATAAACATTTAATAAGTTTCTGTGGCCTTCACTCAAGACTTGAAGCAGACAAATTGTTCTGTAATATCGACCATTTCAAAATGCTGTGCACAATGTGATAACCATTATTAATATGTTACATAAAAAAGTGTTTCATTCACAAATGGTAAAAGGAGTGAAATCAGAAGAAAATCTGTATTTTACTGTCCATAAAAAGTATCTCATGTCATCTGTGGGTCAAGATTTAGAAGAACTCTAGGATACCATGGAAATATTTTTTTGAATACTGAGTGTAAGCAACAAATATTGGATAGCACATTTAATCAGAATTATTAAGTATTTTTTAAATGCACTTTATGTACAATAGCTTCAACACTTTACTATTCATATTCAATGCGCACTATGTACTGACTCTTAGCACATAAAAATACCGAAAATGAAGAATACTTGCTGAATGATTTTTCCAGTTATCACAGTGGCAAGCATGAAGACGCTTGTCTTTTGAGTTTTTGCGCCATGTAGTCTTGTAAAAATTAACTGGCATTTCAGAGGCGCTTACTACCACCACCATCAGGACATTGAACCCTGTTGATGGTAGCAGTAAGTAGTAAATAAATTTCTACAAGACTAAATGGCACAAGAATCCAGATAAAGTTTGCACTCGACTAGTAAACACATACTGCACTTGATAAGTGCAAGGGGTGATGGACATTTCATATTGTGATATTCAACTTATGGGATAAGTGATAATAGTGTACACGTTAATAATGTGTCAGTGATAGTTGCTACATTAGTCTCTATCCATCGTATTAACACAGTTGGCTGAACATCACAATATCATACTGTTACACGGCTAATACTAGAGTTAAACTCTGCACAGCAGCCCTGTGGTATGAGAGTTCAAATTCATCATTCCTATGTTATAACAGAGCAAGTTCACAAAATCTGAAAACCCACCTCAAGGGCTCTCTTGGCCATGTCAGGATTGTGATAAGTCTCCAGGACTCTTCTCACTCGAGCTTCCAATTCAGGGCCCCATCTGCGTCGAACTGTGTAACCACGAAAATCTGTAAGATACAAAAACATGAATTTATTGGAAAAGTAGTCAATAAATTTAGGCAAGATGTCACTGCATGAGCAAATGTGGTATTTTATGCTTAGAGGTGCACAATTAATCAATAAACATAAAGTGTTGTTAGATGATTAATTACCACTACTTCATACATAAAAACTCAATAACAATACCATATAATACAACTATGTATTACAAATATCCACCTTATAAATTTCTGTTGCTTTCAGTACTGTTGAAGTTACTGAAATTTTCACATACAAAACTACTGTATGTGTGTGCACATGTGTTGGTATATATTTCCACAATAAACTCCAGACTTTAGAATTAAAAATTGTAATAGTTTTATAATGGGCTTCAAGGCCTGTAATCCTCATCTGATTTTGTTAGGGTGATTAAATCAAGGAGGATGAGGTGGGCGAAACATGCAGCATGCATGGGGGAGGAGAGGGTAGTTTACAAGGTATTGGTTGGGAGGCCTGAGGGGGAGGAGAATGCTGGGAAGACCTAGGCATACATGGGAGGACATTAGAATGGATCTTAGGGAGATAGGGATTGCTGGAGCGAACTAGATGTGGCTAGCTCAGGACAGAGTCCGGTGGCAGACTTTTGTGAACACGGTGATGAACCTTAGAAAATGGGCAATTCTTTGACAAGCCGAGAGTACAATCGACTTTTCAAAGCATATCCTGCACCACATAGCGTGATAGTGAGTGAGTGATTTGGAAACTGGGTTACTCATTTACCCTCGTGTTGTGTTAGTTGGTGTTACTTACAACTCTGAATAACAACAGCAGCCGACTCCTTGTCTGGATCACTCTTGGGAACATTGTTTTCCTTTCCTTCTCCTTCCATCTTCTGTGCAGGCAACTGCCGTAAAAGTTTTGCCTTCAACCAAGCCTTTGCTCCTCCAACTGCAGGAACCAACATCGCATAATCATCACGGTCACTTATAATATTCTGTCAATCTTAATTACTTCAAATCTATAAAACTTCAGAGTCCAAATTATGTTAAAATCATATGTCTGGCATCTAGTTCCTTTGAGGCCTTATTTTGCACATAAAACTGTGAACATCTGACGGCTTTCTTTTTCATATTTACTTCTCACTTGGTCGTGCATGTGTGGAAAATGGAGATGCAACATTTGAGCATCTGTTATAAAGAAACATCCCTGTCCTTATACTTAGCAATAAAGGCATACATTGAAAATAATTTTTGGCTATTATTTCGAAAATGAAACATTTGCGACCCCATGTTCATAGGAACATTTTTTTCTTATTTTTGATCCTGGAACATGCACACAAAATTTGTAAACATACTTCTGACTCACCCTGTATATACAAAAAACCTAAGGGTTGGTTTCTTGACGTCATTTATGATCTTTTGTAAACACGTTATTGACCTGTTCTCTCTGCCTCGAATGTCTTCTGGCTATCCTCTACAAAGGCTGCCTTCTAGGAGCCAGGCCACATCCAGAACTTTCACAAGGGGTGAAGGAACCCTTGGGCTTGCAATGCCCCTGCTCCCACACCTTCCACACCAATCATGCCGCAATGGAACGTTTTTTACACCAGGTCTTTACCCACTTGGGCGTGCCAATGGGCTATGCTTAAATAGCTTCATCCTTCTCAAGTTCACAGCCTGACCTCGCAGCACCTACCACAAGGTTTTACCAGCCGACTAGGCTTCCTTTCCATGGAATGCCACCTGTGGTTTCAAAATCCACGCTTTTGCCCTTGCTGGTGATGGACACCCCTGGGCTCCCTCCATCTTGGGTTAGACCACAGCGGGCTTGTCACCTAAGGGGCTTTACCCATCCCCAGCAAGATTGATCCCTGGTGTTTAGCACCCTACAGGTGGAGGCTTGTCTCTGAGATCTGATATGTTGCTACTATCTGTCTATCTCATATCGTTCAGCTGAGATTGTGTTCCCATCTACTGATGGTCATAGCCGCCTGTGAAGTGCGGTCAGTGATAACGCTAGGCCGCACCCGGCTCGACGGACAGCAAGTCTCCTGCAGGAGTTTAGCTGGGAGGTGTTTAATCATTCACCCTACAGCCCGGATCTCGCTCCCAGTGATTTCCATCTTTTCCTACCCCTCAAGAAATTCCTGTCCGGTCAGCGTCAGCGTTTTGAGAATGACAGAGAGGCGGAGATGGTTGTCACACCGTGGTTCCAATCCCAGGCGGCAGACTTCTACGACACAGGGATTCAAAAGTTGGTCCCACGGTATGACAAATGTCTCAATTCCGGTGGCGAATATGTTGAAAAATAGCTGGACACTTGCTGTATCTGTTGCAATAAATATTTCCATGAAATTGTGTTTTGTTTCTGTAAATGGCCCCAGGGAAACTTACTTTGTGGACGAGCCTCGTACATATTTTGCAATATAACTTAAGACCAGCTAATGAGATATTCATGGATAACCCATTAGAAACGGTTCAAGTCCGTACTCCTCAATTTCCTACAATCAATAATGCCAATGTCATGATTGCTCAACTAGTCTTGGAACAGATCTCTTTAAACAAGTCAGTGACATAGTTGTTACAGACTATGTATGGACACATAATAATGCCAAACCTTTCTCTGATCTGGCTTCTTCTTCCTGGCGCCTTTTCTCTGCTAACCTTCGTTGTTCCTGGTAGTGACGACGAGCAAGCCAACCCCGTGTATATCGCTGGAGAGTCATCACACTGCGTGCCATCTGCCATTTTACTGATTGGTACCTTGAACGGGCTAACCACCGGCGTACACATGCTTGCACCAATACAATCTTACGAACCTGGAGACACAAATGTACATCATATTTAAGTGGAAACTGTAGATAATTTCCTCTTTCATCAAGTATCCAGTCTGGAAGTTTACATTTGTATGACGAAAATGTTTTATTGTTTATAACTCAACAAAGGCAATTTTTCTGTAAAATGTAAAACAACAAAGTGCCAAGGAAGAATTTTCTTCAGCCGTCAGTGATAATTAATAACGCACTATACTGCAGCTTGGCAACTGGAATTTGGTGTGGAAATTGTTTCTAAACATACCCATAATCATGTATGAAATGTTATTTGTAAGCCAGCAACTAGAAATATGATGACAATGTGAAACTCTGAGGTGACATCCAACGGATATATCACACAAAATCTGAAGTTCTTCCAGAATGATGATGGTAACAATAAAAATAACAGTTATGATAACACAATAAATTTATCATTGTCATTCCTTTTGTCAATAATATTATTATTGTTGATTTATTTATTTATTCTGTTATTAATGTGCTGATTCAACAGCGACATAGTCAGGTACAGTATCACGATGGGAACGTAAGAAAAGTATAAAACAAGCAAAAAAATGAATATAACATGCATGATAACAGTATTACATAACATCATTTAAACTGAAAAAAGTTTCCTAGAATCGTCCAGCATTTACTACTTGCATCTGTAGGATAATGAGCAACTGAACACAGAATCTTGACACGTTGAAATAGTCAAAATGAAACGCCCATGTTCAAACACATCAGTGTCACATTCACAAAGGGCCTCACATACATTCTTGTTATAAATTTTTCATTTGAGAACAAATACAAAAAAAGAAGAGTGGGAACAAATTTCAGTGAGAATATCGAAGATTTGTTACTTGTTGACCTTCATCAGATGAATGAGTTTGTTGAGCCCTGACCATAGTTTGTACCCAATAAAAGATATCTTTGTTCTTAGTCCCCATGTTTTCCTGAAAGCTCCTCTGCCGTCCAAAATGCCCTGCAAGCCCCATTTCAATGCCCTGGGTCAGTAAAATGTCTCTGACTTATGAGAACAGCAATATTTCTTTGCGATAAAAAGTTGGTTGCATAAGTGCCCTTATATTTCTCTTGTTCAGGATACGTATTACGGCCATCTTATTTGGGCTGATGGGCAAGTGAATGTTGTGGTACTACTCTTGACCTACTCACAGAGCTGCTTGTAGGAACTCTGACTCTCTCCAGGAACTTATTACGACTGCAGTATCACCTCAATAACATTCATTCCCCACTAGGCTCCACAGGAAAAGTCATGTCCAGGTAAAAAACAGGCAATTGTGTGGCACACAACATAACATTTTATATCCTCCAGACAAACCAGGTGCAGCAATTATGCCAGCACATATATAACAAAATAAGACATCTCGCGTAGCAATTCATATTTATCACCATTACGACTATGTTAGAGTAAAGGATTACGTGGAACACGTGGCTCACCTGATCCTCATACAGTTTTGACAAGTACTCAACATGGTAGTACTTGAGGAACACTTTTGTCTTCCCAAGAGCCCAGCCATCCATCTTCAGTCTTAACAAAAGGAATTGACAGTTGTCCCGTGATGGCACCACATGCTCATTCCAACCAAAAGCCAAGAAATAATACCTGTTTAGAAAACACAATGCAGATTAATGCTAAAATGTGCTGTTACAAAGCCTTCAGCATAAGAAATGACATTCTGAACCCACTGAAAATTATTTTCAGGAGCCACCTCAGATTTGTTAATGTTTTCCCAACTCTGAATTACATTTCCAAGAATGAGTCTAGACCAGCTAAAGAAAGAGGGGCCCCTATCAAGAGTCAAACCTTTGCCATTAGAAGCAGTGATTTATGATGAAGCCAGCCTTTCCTGCTCTTGAATACCCAACTGAGGAAAAAAACTGTACCTCTTCAAGAACTCTCCAAATGGTATCCTATGTGAGAAGCCGTTCTGGCGTATCCGTATTGTCTCAATAACTCCTGTGCAGCGTAACTGCTTCACCACCTTGCTTGAGTCAAATAACTTGGGGACTCGTGTGTCATTGGGCTTGATGCAGCGCACAAACTGAGGGGACCCACTGACCATCTTCTGAAGCAGGTCCATTAATGAATAACGGAAATACGTGGAAACTGTCTGTTGGGCTCGTGACTGTGAAGCCAGGCCACGGCTGCTATAACGTTCCTGCAGCAACACAAAGTCAAGGTCAGTTTCCAATTATGAAAAAATGTGGCAACAAAGCCTCTTCAAAAGTTTCAGGTAAATGAACAGGTAGAAGATGAATGTCTTGTTACATTGTGTAGTCTGGTAGAAGTTTACCCAGACTATATGGTGCAACAACCCACAAGACAACCATCTTATATTCACCACATGACAACCTGAAATTTCTGATAGATTATATTCCGAAATGTAACATCTCACTTCCTTTCCCTCTTAAAGAAAAATGTAGACATGTGAGATCACCACGCTGTCTTCAGATGCCCAACTTTATAATTAAATCTGTCATGAATGTTACAACTTTGGGGAATGCCCCAATCTCATACTTTATAATTATCTACAATCAGTAATAACATGATGTCAGATGTATGGACTTGTGAGGAGGGAGCAACATTAGTGCTACTTAAATATAGGATCATAAAATTACATAGTAATATAGTTCTAAAAGTATGGAAGTTTTGTTGAGGTAAATTTCTTTGTACAATGAATAATAATAATAATAATACTAATATAGTGGACATGCAAAATTTTAATTTGTTTCAGTCAAGTAACAGTAAGTAATGAATCACTGAATCTAAGTGTATGAAATTTTATATGAAGATAGATCATAAACATTCTTGCAAATTATGTACTAAATATTGTCTACAGTCAAAAATTATGAATATGGCAATGGTGCAAAACTTTGGGGTCACTTCCAACAAAATTAACAGAGAATCTGTAGGCCAACTTCAGTTCCTCTACAAAAAGGCAGGGAAAGTGAAAAGACAAATGACTATCAACTTCTCAAAAGGACTGTGCTCCATGGACTTCATCGTACCTTAGAGCCTTCAGGCGAACTACATGGTGATTCTTGGCTAGGTGAGTAGAGGTTGCCTCTTTTGGTGAGTGGACACTGGAAGAGAAAGCGCACGATGCTCCGATGTGACTGTCTGAGCAGCTGAATCACCTCTGGCGGAAGGAAATTTCGGTTCTTGTCCAGGAAACTATCTGCCTGATACACCACCCGACCAGCATAATGGTGAATGGCGAAGCACAAAGCATCCGACTTGGGACGGACATAAAACTTGCTCTTCACATTCTTGTGGAACTTCTCTTCAAAGAGAAATCAGTAAGAAATTCATTTAAATACAAGAAGTAACAATTACTAAATATTCAAAGTAATTTAATATTGTAGCATTTAGAGTTGTTGAATAATAACAGAAGTAATTATAGTATATTTTTCAAAACTAGACAATTTAATTTTAAAAATGTGCATGTATTTATGGAGTCAATGATAAACTAATGTAAAATAGAACACTTTGCCACACATGCTTTCTGGGGCTGGAGGAGATTTGGGTTGGTATACTGTCGCAAACAAAACTAACTACTCATCTGTCTTCTCTGTCATTGTTTTACAAGAAAATATGAAATCCATAGAATGATTGCCTGATGTAGGGACCACAGCGGAAGCAACTGACAAATGACATTCTATTTCATGACAGTTATACAACCATAATTCACTGATTTCTCTTCTAGTTCTACCTAAGGACTGGTTTCCAAATGAGAGCAATAATTTGAAATCTATACATGCATACTAGATCTTACCAATAAGAGAGCGCTCAGCAGAGCATGGAAAGCGGCTCTCCTCATCAAGAAGCGCGAGCAGTCCCATAGGACGAGACAGCAACATGTCCAGAATCGGACGATTGTCTGAGAACTCCACCAGATCCACAGGTATGCCTTCTGCCATATATTCCTGACAGACACGTTTAATATCATCATGGAATACAATAATTAACACTTCATGCTGGTTTTTAAATATGTAATAAGTTAACACTGTGGCAGTATTTAAATGGCCTATCAGTAAGAAATAGGTGACATACATATTGTCAAGTTTTCCCACTTCTAATCACTCTACACTTACAGTCGTTTCAAAAGGAAATTGTTCATGAACTCGTTTTCTGTATTACTTGCAATATCTGCTTTACATTCCTCGCCATCTTATGGTTTTTCAATAACAAACACTATTTTCATTTCTATATACACCATTTTGCTTACTGGTTCATAGTTTTGACGTAAAAAAAGGGGGGCAAATAATTCGTACAGTCACATGTATAAATGACTAGATTTAAGAAATGAGAAGTACAATGTTTCAAGGTCTAATGATACAAATAGTATGACAAAAATCCAACAGATAACATAACAATGATCTGTCTTGGTGCCTGCATGCAGGGAGTATATATACTTGAGATACTGCTGATAGAAATGGCTTCTAGCTGCAAGTACACTCTCGGGCCACTGGCTTGAAGGGTTAATTTTAGTACAGTAGAAATGTTGGTATAATGTATATCAGTATAGTGAAAATATTATTCACGTCCTACCAATGCATCATGCTTTCTTATGGAAATATATTTCACTTTTACAAATACTGGTGCAAGGAAAAACTTCAATGTAATACAGTAAAAACTTGTCCCCAATCAAAAAGTGAATGGTTCAGTTTAGAAAATGTTTTTAAACTGATTTCCAAGGTATATCTGAAACAAAACCCTACACAGTCAATGCAGCAACGTAAAAATGCTGCTGTTTCTTCCAAATGGTTTGTTAAACACGTACCAGATGTCACAAGCATACAGGTATCTATAGTAATGTAGTCTTGACATCAGTTTAGTGGACTGAAAAACAAAAATATTTGGATAACAATCCTTGTAATAGTAAAATTGAATGATCATAGTAATTCATAATTCACAGAGGTCTTCCAGCATTATCAGAATAATGAAATGTGAGAAATTATAAAAAAAAGGGCATATGGGTAATTTGAGGAAGACAAGGAATGCCACAGAATTCTGACAAGAAATAATATTTAAAAATGTTCACTTTCAGTAACAAGAATGGCATGGAAGGATAACATTAAGATGGATCTAAGATATATTGTAAGAATAGGAGACAGATAGAACTAGCTAAACCTCATGTCTAATAGTGGGTTTTGATGTGAATGGTGTTGAATCTTTGAGTTCTACCATCACCGTGAGAGATATTCTCAGACGTAAGTGACCGTAAGATTGCGGACATTACCTGCTGCTCCCACGTGAAGATGTGCTGGTTGAAATAATACTGGAGCTGCTCATTAGCAATGTTGATGCACAGCTGTTCAAACGAATTCCTTGGGAAATTTTCAAATCCAAAGATGTCCAATAGGCCCACTGACAATGGCTCTTCACTAGTAACAGACAAGACATTATCTAAACATCGAAAGCTTACATCCTACACTCTGGAAAACAAGCTTTAAAAGTATTAATTATTGGGACACTACAATACACTCTCATTACGTAACAGTGTAATGGCAAGATGATTCATCCTGAAGGAAATGTCAGTAGATAATTCTTACCTCTAGGGTTTAAGCGAGACCACAAAATGACTTGAAATGAGTAACAAAGCACAAGATTTTTAAACGTAGGAGAAAGACAGTAGGTAGTAACAAAACAGCATACCACGTTCCTCTGTTGAATGTCAATAGGCAGTTAATCTGGTTAACTATCCAGTCAAATAGTCGACCATAGAGCCCCTTGGCCATGGCATCACGAGCTGCACAAGCCTCCGCAACTGTGTTGTTCCTCACAATGGTCTCACCCCGTGTCACTACACTGTTTGATGTCAGTGCCTCCAACATATCGCTCGGTTCCACACCGAGAAGACGAGACACTGCCAAACACAATCACACGCTGAAATACGTTCATATCTGTATGTTCAAATGATAGCAGTATGAAAAAATGCGCTATTTGTAGACTTACAAAATAGACATTTGTTTCTAATATTAATTTTTTAACCATGTTCTCAACTGAAATTTCCAAAAAATAAACTTTACCTTTGAAATATCTGTCTGTCAATATGTAACAAATCAAGAATGGTTGAATCAGAATTAATAAATTTACACTGGGCAGTATTAATAAAATTTACCTGCAAATCAATTAAAATCAGCCAATAATGGACATGTTGCAAGAAGACTTGCCCGTGTTTCCGTAGGCTAAAGCGATTGGCTGCAGAATTCGCAGCTGGCGACACAACCACATGGTAAATCCTAGGGATTCCTCCATGTTCACAGAATCTCAAAGGCAGAGGGTGCCAGACACCCTGCCCCAGAACAATTTGAATACCACTGGCACCACTCACATAAATTCTAGCAAATAAGCCAGAATTGTTGCATTAACTGTGCATTTTGTAATTAGTTCTTTCTTCTCGCATTCACTATCCTTTTCTCCCCCCTCTTTCCTCTCTCATACACTTTTCTTTCACTTTCCCTCTCATTCATCCTCTGCAACTATATTTCTTTCTTTCTTTTCCCGTCTGAAGAAAGTTACAGCATGCTGCATATCTGGCATGACTATTCTATCTGTAATATCAGTGCACTCTTCTTCACAGCAAAAATATTCTGATTATAAAAGTATGAAGTTTAACAGATAATATATCCACATATTCATCGAAAAGAGGGCTTTCTACATAAATTAATCATCACATTAAACCAGTGAGGCGAGGTCACTCACCTCTGTGGAGAGGAGCAAGGTCAACGACATAGCTCTTGTTGTCAGTGTTGTTCTGTGTTACCACTTCACCAAACTCAATGTCACCAAGATGCAAGATGGCTGCCAGGATATGATACACTGTGTCCACCTCATCGTTGCGGAAACCCAGAAGACGAAAGCCAACATTCAGTTGGTGGTACCTCTCCACATTTATCTGCAGCATACAAAGTAAACTATTGCCATGAGGTAACCACCCTGGTCTTATCATAACTAGTCCACATACAGAGCCTGTCTGTTCATTCTAACTTGTTGTTTGGTGTGCACCATTCTAGTGATTTGTTACCTTAACACCACTCCATGGCTCCTGCCTGGTTTCTTAATTAATTATCTGAAGTGGATCTATCTGAAGAACCAATTTTATTACTTAGAATAATAACTTCTAAGTTAAATGTTCAGGAGAATCGCATAGTACGACAGACATTAAAGCTTAGCAAACAGAAGACTAGACTGCTTGATAAGGGAAGAATGAAAAAGGAAACTGTACAAGTACTTTACTAATACAAAATGTGATTGGTCTCTTACCTTGAGGGAAAGACCACACGTGACAAGTGTCTGAAAATAAGGTGCTCAGGAAGATATTTGGACCCAAGAAGGATATAGTATGTGAGAAACTTAGGATACCATATAATTAGGAAAATGGCTAGGATAAGAAAGGCAATGAATGCACATGGAATTTTGGTTGGGAAACGTCATGGAAAATAGCTACTTGAAGGTCTGGGAAAAAGATTGGAGGATAAGATTAGTGCGATCTTAGGGAGATGGGTTATGAGTATCAGAGACATGTGAAGATGGCTCAGGATTATGTCCAATGGTGGTGTATGATAGAATGATACTGAACTTTCAGGACCTACCACCACATTGTCAGTTCCAGTTTGTAATTGCTTTGAACTGACTCATACATAACACTTATAAGTTTGTTAATACTGAGATTAGCATGTGTCATAAATGTTTTTAGTAAAGTAAAGTTTGTCCCGCTACGTGCCATACAAGCGCTTGGGGTGAGAGGGGGTATAGCTCCACTCTTTCTTGACCTCGGCACTAGATGGGGTGAGTAGTCAGCATCACGCCCCGGCCGGCTTTACCCCCGGGAAAGGACCCCGGTACCCATTGTAGAGGAGGCTGGGTGGGCCCCAGAGCCGGTCTGGACACAGAGGCTAGAGGAAAAATCCTCTGCCCCCGTCGGGGATCGAACTCCGGTCGTCCAGCCCATAGCTAGTCACTATACTGACTGGGATATCCCGGCTCATAAATGTTTTACATAAACTTATTCTGAGATTATTTAATTTATAAGATCCAAAATGTGCACATATATTTTGTAACTAGTTCTGTCTTTTGGTTAAGTATTACCTTCTTTGTTTCTGCATCCTGGGCATCCTCTCCCAAATAATGGTGATGGAGTCTCAATACTGGGTCCAGATAAAACTCAGCTAATCGATTTACAGATTCAAGTCCATCATACAGGTAGTAGAACACATGGAAATTTTTCTCACCCCTGCCAATTTAAAATATGGTTATTTGTAATCTAAAGTCTTTACACATTTTGCCACTTGTAAGAAATTTAGTAAGTTTTATAACAGCATAAAGACACTTTGTAGGATATGAGGTTTTCATGGCAGTGAATCTGAAAATGACCATCTTCTGGATTGCTGGGCCGTGTAATTTGATAGAAGTTTACCGACGTTTCAGAGGTCCTTGCTGCCTACATCATCAACCATCTTCAGACTCACTGCAGTGAAAACCTCAAATCCTACATAAAATAATATCACTGGAGAAAATATTTAATAAATAAATATTAGAGTGGCTTGGCCATGGTATTCAAACTGACAGTTAATACAGGCTCTGCATTGTAAAGTAGACAGTTGCAGAGGTACTCAAAGAGTTCCGCACCATTGTGGTACCTTAAGGTTCAATACAGTGTTTAACAAGGTCCACTTCTGCTATGGCGCAACGGCCCAAAGTCGAGCCTTGGCTTCCTCACACGTGTGAGGTTTCTTTGTCTTTGAAGTGTGCATTTATGAGTAGTGAGTGACAAGCCCACTGTCTCTGCACAATTTCTTCTCAATCCTGATTTGTCTGCTAGAGCCATCCAGTAGTTAAGTAGGAGAGACTTGGGTGAGAAATGGCCACTGAATTTTTCTTACAAAACATCTCATTCATGCTCATAAGGTTCTTTTACATGCCGTAAACCTAAAACATGGGACCGCTGGCTTTACTTCCCTTCCAAAGGAATTTGTGCTATGGATTTTTATCACCCTTAAAAGTCCATCGACATCGGCCAGGTTTGAACCCGCGAACCTTGGGGCCAGTGGCGAGCAAGCTAACCACTAGTCCACCAAGGGCGACAACAAGGTCCACTACTGTAGCCTATGCCAAGCCAGATGAGTTAAAACTAACCCTTCATACTCTGTTTCTCTAGGGCACAGCAGTGCCTAGATTTCCTCTTGAGAGTTTCTAACCAAAAATTGTGTATGAATTTTTTGTTTTCCACATGAATATTAGATGGTTCATTCATTCAATCATCCTGACACTGTCAGATGAAAAGAACAAATCATGAAGCTTTTTAATAAGTAATTTTGTCTTCCCTGCCATCATTGTCTCTTTCTTAATTCAAAAATATTCAAACAAATGCACAACTTGCTGGAACAAGAGTTAGGTGGGATAAACAGCCACACAAATTATATTTATAAACATTTTCATTGTTTTGGGCTATCACTTCTTCAAGTCATTTCTACAAAAATGACTGATGTACATGTCACAACATTCTTTAAGCACTCAATTAATGGCCTTTCTTCTTTAATTTTTTCACTTCGAAGAATTGATGTGTCTGTCTCCTCTGAGGCACAGAGTATTTGGAGAAATGTAACGCTGCTTTGGAATGTGTTACCCATCAATACAGCCCACTTTGATAGTTGTCAGGTGATAATAGTTCCTACAAAGCCTGTGGATAGTGACCAGATTAAAGTAAACATTATTGACATACTGAAGAAGACATAGAGTGTATCTTTACAGAAGTTTTATTATAGCCTGGAAGCATTTATTTTTTAAATATTTTAATTGCGTTTGCAGGCAGTTTGAGAAGACAAAAGGAAGCAGGTCAGGTTAAACATGAAGTAAGTGACCCAGTTATATCTTACTGTGTTTGTTGCGACACTCGTGACTGCTCCAAGAGGTAAACTGCCACCCTAGCACCAGTGACTTTCCCCGTTTGAGTCATGATCAAGTCCAGGAACTTCCCAAACCGAGATGAGTTGGCATTGATGCCCGTCCTGGCATTGCCAAATGCTTCCATAATGGGGTTCACTTGCAAAATGCGTTCTTCTAGATTCCTATTGGGTGCCTATGATAAAATTTGCCATTATCAATTGCACTGAGAGAGCAGACTGTTTCCCAAATTTGAAATGATGACAAGTATCATCAAATACCATAATGTAGTCCACTTTTAAGTTGTAATATCACAGTCATACCTGAATGGATGTGAGTACTGAACATTAACAAACTAAACACTTTATTTACTATCTACACATGTTTCATAATACTAAAGAAGTATTTTGTACAAAAATACATTAGAAATTATCCATACTAGTGCAGAAAAGTGTAAGAGAAAATGTCTTTTACATTTTGGATTCCTTGCACTTGTATAAAATTTTGACGTCCTGGGGAGCGTTTTGGATTCCTTGCACTTGTATAAAATGTTGATGTACTGGGGAGCAAACAGACTAGTTTCACGAAGCTGACAGTCACTCAGTGAATAAATGTTTATGGAACTTGTACGTCCATTATTGCGTTCAGAAGACAATGCCACTCGGCCCTAACCTGAGCTGAATGAATCCACCCCATGCATGTCTCATCTCTCCTACTTGTGCTATATGCGTCACTCATTTCATCTTCCTCAATTTATTTACTCTAACAGTATTTTGTGTAGGGCGCAACTGATGAAGATCCTCATTATGCAACGTCCTCCAATCTCCTGTTATTTCCTCCCTTTTAGATTAAAACAGTTTTCTCAACACTCCTCTGATGTGAGAGACCAAGTTTTACATTCATACAAAACAAAAGATAAATTATAGTTTTGTATATTTTAATCTTTACTTTGTTCAACAGCAGACAAACAACAAAATTCTCTTGTAAATAAGAGAAAGAAACATTATTTCACACATGAAATGGGTGTAACATTGGCAACCACCAACAAGCCTACATGAAGTCAAAATCCAGATCACATTCTAAATTTTCACAAATACAAACTCTTCAAATATCATAATTTCAGCTCTATTACTGACTTCATAGTAATGTAGAAGCTTTCTGAGAAATGATAAATTGTGTAAGTAGTATTATATATAACATTGTTATCTCTCACCACATACTGAGGCAATATGCATAGATCAATGAAAAAATACATATTTTCAGAAACATTGATGACCTAAAAAATTTTGTCTGTCCTCTTACTGCCTCATACTGGGACAGAAATCAATGATCATGAGAATTCTCATGCTGGAAGCATGTAACACACACATGATTAAGGTTTGACACTGTTAGTACCAAAGCTGGTTATTGGACACAATCCCACAACAATCATTCTAATTTTCCTAAATGCTTTTGATCCATCACCTTCTTGGACTTCCAAGTAATTATTTTCCATGAGGTTTCCACACCAAATTTTTAGGTGTATTCACTATCTGCTAATTCTATCAAAATGTATGGACCACTTCCTTACAATACTAGGCAAGCTGTACGCGTCACAAACTTCATCATGACAAAACAGTCAGCACTCGTGTCTGAGGTCGTACCTTTCCAAGGAAGACAAGCTGTTTCAGCAACAGGTTTGCGCTCTCGGTTTTGCCTGCGCCACTTTCGCCGCTGATCACAATTGTCTGGTTCTGGCTCTGGTGCAGCAGAGCTTGATATGCAGCATCAGCAACAGCAAATATGTGAGGTGGATTGTCTGATCGAGCCTGACCGTGATACCTGCGCTGCTCCTATGCAATATTTTCAAGTAACACTGTAAAACTTCCTAGTTCACTACTTTTTAAAAACATTTCTGCACACACACACTTCTGTTATGAATCCCCTCAACATCAGCTAGAAATAAAATTCTCATTTCACCCTGCAATTTGCAAGATCTGAGCATCTGGATTTCAACACACAGTCACAGTGCACCTCATCTCAAACAAGAAAACTCCACACGCAGAAGACAACCTGGGTAACAACGATTCATATCACGCTTTCTTCAAAGCAATTTATCTCGTAAAGTTTTCTTTTTATATGCAAAATGCACTTATCTTGGAATATAAATTAGCTAAGACACTCACCAAGTTTGTATAAAATCCTAGATCAATGAATGGGTTTACAGACAGCAAGATATCCCCAATGTAGGTGTAAATTTGATTCTGTTCAAATCGACGACACAGCTGTTCCACAATACTTTCCTGCAAAACACAAAATTCTTACAAAATTTGTACTCCATATCTGTACATTCTTTGTTAGTTTTAAGAAAACCTGGTGCTGTTTCAAAAACTAATATTTTTAACAGAAGTTAATAAAATAGGAATAAGGGTAGGAAGAAAAAAGTATGTTAAAAATATGACAAATATGTTATATCTGGTATTATGTCTTTAATGTATTGATTTGGTTGCTTTGACATTATTTACCTGCATGTAATTCAATGTCATACAACAGACATTGAACAAAATAATTTAAAACAGTTCCGATGGCTCTGGTCTTGCGCTTAAGTGAAAGAAACATGATTCACAACTTTTACAGTATCAATGAGATATATGGATTATAAATTTGGCATGAAAAATAATTTGTCCAATTTTATCTGCAGAAGAAAGGAAAATTTTTTCATGTCCCTTTAACATATAATTTTCATGGCACTTTTCATTTGTCCTCAACATTTTGAAGTACATGAAACCAGCATGGAATGAAATATTTTCATACAATCAGATGTGGGTGATGTGCAATAAATTCTCCAATTTCTCAGAAACTGTTTCTTCTTCCATCATTAAGGACTGATCTGATGTGTTCCCTAACCAACAGAACAGAATAAGCGACCAACAGTGTGACTTCTGAATACAAACAAATCCTACTGCAGTGGGTTTTTCATGTGAGGTGCGTACAAATCATTGCTGAAAACGCTGTGATTTGGAACATCTAC